TAACTTTACTTTTTGCAATTTGATTCGGCCGTTCTCGAGTTATTCGATTTTTTCTAGAAAAATCTGCTCCAGCGGACATTTGTTAAAAAAATCATTGATCACTCAATTTTTGAGATATCAATTTAGGATTCAGAACATGCTTAAACAACATGATGGAGTATGTTTTGGCGCCGAGAACGGCTGTCTAGATCGTTTGGTCACTCTACTATGACACGTTAACTTTTCGAAATTTGGAAGCACCATAACTTCATTTTTTTAAATGGCACCTCCCATATTTTATTACATAGTCGTCTTCGGCGTCTCATTTTACATCTTTTATATTCCATATGTCCTATGCCTAACATTAATAGTTTGAGAAATAATTAGCGTTTTTTGAAAAATGCTCACATATCATATGGATATTAACCTAGTGTGCCATGGAAAACAAATGTTTAATGACTTATTGATAAACGTCAAAGTCTAATTTAGGTTGTTTGATGCTTGTGAGTCTAAAACCAGTTAAAATGGATATTAATAACGTAAATAATGTTTATACAAATGAAGAAATCCATAATTTATTTTTTGTGCACGAAAAGTGCGACAAAGTTCTTAGTAGAACTTGCAGAATGTTTAATGAAAATTATCCACATTTANGATTTGATCATTAACATATGATAATCTCTCTTCCGAAGATTTTGACCATGCTTGGAAAGCCTGCAGACAGTTAAGGTTTACAGACCTATATATGTTGGAGGCAGATGACGAATTCGGCCCGTGGCCGATTTATTTAGACATATCGGCATATGTCTAAAGCTGTTAGGTCACATGACGAAAAAATGATACAATCGGGATCTGACCATATCAGTTTGAACACGTCCCGATATGTACATTTGCACAATGCGCCGATCCGATCGGAACTACACATAACCTCTGTTGGGATGTTTATGGGGGACATCACTTACGTGTAGTGTGTTTATTAGTACGTTTTACTGTTTTTAGCAGTTAAACATATCCCGAAATGTTAATTGTTGCTTTGGTCATAAGAGAAACAAATGCAATGTGGGAACTAACATAATATTTATTTTATTACTTATTGCGACATGAAGTACTTGAATGACATTTACTGTTACATTTCGAGTTCTTTAATAAGCATTTGCACTTTTTATTACTGCACTGTTTACGACAGTTGCATCTTACAAACCCCTGGGAAGAATTTGATTCATCTGAAGATGTCAATGAGTTCGTTTGAGAAGGCTGAAAAGAAAAACCTTATTACCGTTTAAATATATAAAATATTAGTTAAGTACTTACCTGGAACTCATTCCTTGCATATAGTTTTTCCAAGATGCCAGTTGATGTACCAAGTTGGTATAAATCATCTTTCTCGGACAATACAACAGCCAAAATGTTACGAGGAGCTAAGCGTCCTCTGTCGACATCAGGAATCTTAACTAAAACGTTCTGCCCAATTTCAATTTTTGGGAATTTGGAACAACTTTGCTGTAACATTTCTGTTGCTTGCTTTTTTAAACATGCAATACTATGAGATCGATGTTGATTTATTGATTTTAATCGGATTTCGTTGTTCCTAAAATGAAACATATAATAATAATAATAAGCAATGTAAATTCTCTGCGTTTTTTTAGGTTACCTCAACAATTCTTCCTCAACATCATCATTTTTGGAATAATTTATGGGAAAGCTTTCTTGTACATCTTTTTCATTTCCTCCATCACTGTTTTGAAATTCTGAATCTGATTTTTCAGATACTACCTGTTCTATGTTTCTACCAACACTGCTTTCTAATCTATAAATGTCGTCCTCATCGTGTAACTTCTCTACAATTTCAAGCGGAAGATTTGAATCTTTTAAGCCATTAACAAGTGGGATGCCAAACATAGCCTCGTATGGAGTACGTTGGATGCCTCGGTGAAATGATCTATTCTTTTTTAATTGCACAAATCTTAGACCTTCTGCCCACTTAGTTGTCTCATTTTCCTGCATCCAAGTAATTAAAATGTCTCTTACATCTTGGTTCGCTCTCTCGATGGACCCTTGGCTTTGAGAATGACGTGGTTTACCATGAATTATTTTCGCTTGAAACATATCTGCAAGGCTAGTAATTACTTGATTCACAAATTCTCTGCCATTGTCACTATGAAGCAAGCAAGGTGCCCCGACTATGCAAAAAATATCCATCAAGTTATATGCTACTTCTTCTGCCTTTTTAGTTTTTAGAGGTTTTAAAAACACAAATTTTGTGAGGTGGTCTTGGTAATTCATGATAAACTTATAAGGGCCATCCGGTTCTGTTTGCATATCAATAAGATCAATTTGTCCCCTTTTATTAAATCCTGTAGAAATTATTGGTTTTACTACTAATCCTTTCTGCTTCGATTTTTTCTTTAATTGACACATAGCACATAATTTCAAATACTCTTCAATGACACTTCTGGGAATATTACAATATTTCTTAGCAATTTCTTTTTCCATTCCTAATCTTCTTTTATGGCCAGTATCTTTATGAACTTTTTCTAAAATGCCGTGTACCTCCGTAACATCGCAATAATACCTAATAGAAACCACATCATCATTCTTTCGTTTTGCAATAATTTTCTCTTTATCACCAATTCTTAGAATTTCAAATCTATTCAAACGCCTATAATCTTGACAACTTAGTTTTTCCTTCGTCTCTTTCTTTGACATGCTGTTCTTTACTTGATTTAAAATACTTAAATAATGCTCAACAGTTAGTACGGTGGTAAAATTATTAGCGCCACTATTTTCAATTAATTTAAAAAGCTTAGTTTCAAAAATTTGTTTTTCAACTAAATATTTTTCACTTTCCATATTTAAAGTCAACCACTTTATATTTAAAACTTTATAACTTCTGTAACTGCTAAAAACAGTAAAACGTACTAATAAACACACTGCACGTAAGTGATGTCCCTCATAAACATCCCAAAAGAGGTTATGTGTAGTTCCGATCGGATCGGCGCATTGTGCAAATGTACATATCGGGACGTGTTCAAACTGATATGGTCAGATCCCGATTGTATCATTTTTTCGTCATGTGACCTAACAGCTTTAGACATATGCCGATATGTCTAAATAAATCGGCCACGGGCCGAATTCGTCATCTGCCTCCAACATATATGTCCCGTTTTTTAAGAAAATTTTTTTAAAAGTTTTAATGATTGATTTGTATGTAATAACAAAATTTCCAAGATAGTTTTATTGACAGTAAGTTCACGTTTTATATTTATCTGAATATTACTAACTATTTTTATATATACAGATATACAAATAGATATATACAAATTTTAGAAGAACTTCAGAGAGACAAAAAAGTTTTAGAATAGTTTTATCTATCTAACTTAAATTTTTCCAATGTATTTATCATCATCACAAAAAAAATATAGGCTTAAATTCAACGGGGGTGGTTACGTTTAGTAGTTTAGAAGGGTAGGTTGAAAGTACAAATAGGGTCAAAACGTACCTTATTTTGAGTTAAACATATTCCCCAAATTTCATTTTCCTAGCGTTTATGGTTTTTGAGAAAAAAAATTAAACCAGAATTTTCCGCCATTTTTGGGGGGGTGTAACTTCTTAGGGAAGCCGAAGTCGCCCATGGTTTATATATTAAAGTACCCTTAAAATTCACTAAAGAATTCTCACAAAACTTTGATTAAAGCAACAGTTTTTGATTGAATTAACAAATTTTCTACAAACGTGTTTTTTTTTAAAACTATTGCTTTGATCAAAGTTTTTTAAGAGACCAATTGATAGATAATTGATCACTTTACACGCGTAGAAAGCAATGGCGTAGACAGTATTTTTAAAAAAGTGCTTTTTATAGCAGATAATGTTTCATTTTAAAGAAACTTTGATCCGCTATATCTCTCCAACGAGGCATTTGCGACCCCATGTATATTAAGACTTTTCATCTTAATTTTTGATGTATTACCTGCCCTAGAAGTCTGTCAGCGGTTTTTTCAATCAGCCTGTATAACCCTATATTTTTGTAATCAGAAAAAAATAACGAATTTAATAAGCGAAAAATCAGTGGTTGTTTCCATTTAAAAAAACGAAAATTGTGATAGTATCTAGAAATCTATAACCGAAAAATTTTTTTTGACTACGTCATCAAATTTTCTGTAAAAAAGTGTCCATATAATGTCTTAGTTATAATACTCCACCTATAATAATAACCAAGATAATTGCACTTGCTGGTTTTACGATATTTTCAATTTTGACCTCTAGGGGAAAAACAAAAGACGATAGGTTTTTGGCATTAGCAGTTTCTCAAAAAACGAGATCATGACATGTAAGCCACTTTTTTTCTAACTCTTATAGTTTCGGAGATAGCTTATTCGGACATCGAATTTGAACCTCCCTGTACATAGCGCGACGCAGACTTTGGGAATGAATTTGACCCCGATGGGCACTTCTGAAATTGATGAAATTTTAGGACGATCCAGAATTTTTGATTTTGAGGAAGATGGAACGCTGAGTGATCTACCCTTCAATACACTTGTTTCGTGACCAATTTTTAAATGTGTTACTGCGATCTGTCTCCTAAAATCTTTGATGGAAATTGACTTCTTTCCATGAATTCTTCTATATGGCAAGAAGGAGTTTACAACAGCCGTATCAATTATCCTTGTGAATATACACCAGTACCATTTCTTACCCTTTATTGCTATAGAATGTTTTTCTAGGAGCCAATCATGATAGTCTACCCCACCCATGTATGGATTATAATGGTGAATCAGTCTTGGCTGAGCAACTTGCACTTTTAATTTTTGTACTCTGCTCATAAAACCAGTAGCATCTCGCAACTGATGCTACTGGTTTTATACTATCAAAGTTTGTTTGTGGCTATACAAACAAATTTCTTATCATTCCATTTTACCAGCAATATTTAATTAAAAGGCAGGGTGGTTATGATGAAGAATAATTTAGTGAATTCGGTGCTACATATGTATCGATTTTTTTTAAAATCGTCTTCAGGCACGACTGTAATTAATAAAAATAAAATTATAGAAATAACTAAATGGCTGTACAGGCTGTCCCGTATCTACCGCATCAGAGCATTATACGGTTGTAGGATACATTATTCTGAAGCGATCTTTCTAATAAAATTTTTCGAAATGTTTATAATAACCGCACGGGAACTGTTTAAACGAATTGTTTTTTGTCGAATCAGCAGACGCAAATCAGACTCAGGTAATCGGTGCCACCCTCGGTCAGTCCGCTACGCCGAGGATAACTCGTTTCCCACGTGTACTCACCAATAGATTCGTGACGGAGAGAGAAATAAACTTTTTCGGTGAATCAAAGTCGTCCGTTATTGGTCGTCGTTAAACTTAAACTAAATTAACTAAAATAAATCTACTTCATTTTCGCTATTAACCGTAGTTGGTGGGTAAACCAGCACAATGTTTAGATATGTATATCGCGCATTTAGTGAAACTTTATGTACTTTACGATCGCCATTATCAAATTTATACATATTTAGAAAATTAAGGAGGTAAGTTATGTGTTTTAATCATCTATACCAAGAAATTCAAAATCTCTATATTACTATTATATAACTTATAATCATAAACAGTTTAAATCCCGTCATATTTTTATAACACTTCTTCTTTTTAGGTCGACAAAGTTGAATTACCTGGTCGTACTTTTTTATCTGTGCCTGGATACGACGAAAAAATAGAATTTGGAGTCTTAACTTTATTTGCGTATCTGGTTGAGGGCTCGGACGAGAAAATTGTTGTCGCAACAACTCGTGTTGAAACCATGTTGGGAGATACCGCTGTAGCGGTCCATCCAGAAGATGAAAGATATAAACATTTACACGGAAAGTTTGTGATACATCCGTTTTGCAATCGGAAACTACCAATCGTTACCGATGAATTTGTCGAGCGAGAATTTGGAACTGGTGCTGTTAAAATCACACCAGCACATGATCCAAATGATTACGAGGTCGGATTAAGACTTAACTTACCATTTATCACCATTTTTGATGAAAGTGGTATTGTTATTGGTGATTATGGAGAGTTTTCGGTTAGGAAAACAACAGGAATTGTAATTCTGTTTAACACATTTTCTTTTTATTTGATAGGGAATGAAACGTTTTCATGCAAGAAAATCAATAACGGAAGCTTTAAAACAAAGGGGACTTTATATTGAGACAAAAACCCATGCCATGGTGGTTCCAATCTGTAACCGAAGCAAAGATATTGTAGAACCAATGTTAAAACCTCAATGGTATGTAAAATGTTCTGAAATGGCGAATAATGCTGTGGAGGCAGTAAAAAATGGAGATCTTAAAATTGTACCTGAGATGCATGTAAAAACTTGGTATCATTGGATGGAAGGAATCCGTGATTGGTGTATTTCAAGACAATTGTGGTGGGGACATAGAATACCAGCTTATTTTGTTACAATTGATGGACAACCTAAAGGCAATGTAAGTATGAGTCATTAAAAGTTCTATAAATTTATTGGATAATAACTTAAAAAAGACTGTTTAATTTATATTTTATCTTCTTCTTCTTCATTCGACGTTTCATTCTATAGACGAGGATAATCAACTCTGGTCCCATCCTATTGGTTTCTCCGTCATGCATATACAAGCCAGCCGGTTCTCATCCATTCTCTCCACATGCCTTTTCCATTTTCTTTTTCTCGTCTTGGACCACTTGACCACGTCGTGTGTATTACATTTTTCCCCATTTAGTTCAACTGTTGTTCTCTTTTGCTTTTTAATGATTTTCAAGCGATAAAATTCTAAAGAAGAATTCCTACTCCTGCATTTTCTCTCTCTTATATTTTATACGTATATTTAACTTAACTTTTATATACAGTCAGCGCTCGCTTAACGTACTATCGCCATCCGAATTAACGTAAGTACATACATTACCAGAACTGGAAAAGATTACAATTTAGTAAATTGTAATAAAAGAAATAGTAAGCAGGTTCAAATAAAATGAGAGAAAGACTAGAAATATAAAAACATTACCAAAGCATACTTTATTTTTTTAATATACAGGTGTCTCCCCATTGAGTTGCATAACTTTGTAGGGTTATTCCTTGCAAAATTAGCAAAAAACATCCAGTCAACATAGGTCCAATTCTCAACCGTTTTTGAGATATGGGATAACTTAATTAACTTAAATTCTATTTTAAAACTTCTACAATAATTAGCAAAAAGTTTTAATGATTTTAATGCCGTAAACAAACAAAAGCAAAGCGATCATTAATTGTTTAAAGCTGCTCAAAATGGCGACCATGGACTGCCATACACAACTCTGCTCTTCGACTCAGTTCTCCTATCCAGTTAACATTTTCCATGTTTCCACGAACTTCCTGAAATGCTCGATGGATTCTACCTAAAAGTTTTTCTTTGTTAGCTGGCTTCCCTTGTCCATAAACGATGCTTTTAACATTGCCCCAGAGGAAAAAGTCGAGAAAGTCAGATCCTACGATGTTGGGTTATACATTTTTATTAAGCTTTTTAATGGTATGTTGTTGTGACAGAACGTAACAACTGAGTAGTGTTTTTTATATTTACATTGTCATTCAACCTACTTCGCTTTTTGTTTATTACAAGTAAAACTCAAACTTAACATGCGAGCGAGGGGGCATGCGACAGCTCCATTCCGCCCTATCAAGCGGTTTGGAAACGCAGTGTTCAAAAGGTCGGTCACGACCCTTCCATAGTGTGCCAAACACCTGTCATGGACAAACCACATCCTATTACGCACGTTTAAGAGGATATATTCAAGAAGTTTGGGAAGCTCTTCTTCTAGGAATCTCCTGTAGATTTGACTAGTCAAAGTTCCATCAAAGATTTTCGGTCCCAGGGCACAATTTTTGATGATTCCTCCCCACACATTAACCGAAAACCGATGCTGGAATCTATTTTCTGACAAAGTATAGGGATTTTCTTCGCTCCAGATGTGCTCGTTATGTGAGTTGTTAATCTCATCACGAGTGAAGATAGACTCATCTGCGAACAAAACAATTGGGAGGAGATCCTGGTTCTCTAGGATCCACGAGCAAAATTCTTCTCGTTTCACTTAGTCTGCTAGTAAGAGATTTTGTACTTGTTGTACATGGTCACGATTTAGCTCATTTTCCCGTGAATCGAAGCGTCCTGTGAATCGACGCTCTTTTCTGTCCCGTGGTGGCAACCGTTCTTCTTATACTGGTTCTTGGATTCTTAGAAACTTCATGAAGAACAGCTTCAGTGTGGTTTCTTCGCGCAGGCTCTCATTAGTCTTTCTCGGGAAGCATCCTGTTTGCTGGAGCAATCTGAAGCAGTTCATGATGGTTGTTCGACAAGGATGTCTTCGATTCCAGTAGCGTTCTGCGTACTCTCTTGCCGTTTCTGAAGCATTTCCTCCACAATAGCCATACAAAAATATCATGTCGGCGAACTCTTCATTCGTAAAAAGAGGCATTTTTAAAGGTTCTACGAGCGGAATCCAATGACAAAAATACTAAGAAAGTGCTTCATTGACAACTGTCAAAAAGCCAACTTCATGCGCATTCCATCTAAAAAAATTAATTAAATTAGTTACCGTAACTAGTGCCTTTCAGCGCTTTTGGCCATGGTGTGCCAAGGGTAGATTGAAAGTACAAATAGGGTCAAAATGTGCCCTATTATGAGTTAAACATATTCCCCAAATTTCATTTTCCTAGTGTTTATGGTTTTTGAGAAAAAAAATTAAACCAAAATTTTCCGCCATTTTTGGAGGGGTGTAGCTCCTTGGGGGAGCCGAAGTCGCCCGTGGTTCATATATCAAAGTACCCTTAAAATTGCCTAAAGAATCACCCCCTTGGGCACGTCATTCAGATACACCCTTTACCCTTATTTACACCCTTATTTACCTGTATATAAATTTTTCTATGCTTTGGACCACCCATATCTCGAAAACGGTTGAGAAGAATTGCACCTATGTTGATCTGAAGTTTTTTTTTTAAATTTTAATGCGAGGAATAACTCTACGAAGTTTTGCAACTCAACGGGGAGACACCTGTATAAACAAAAAAATTATAACATAATAGTGTGTAGGTAATATTTAATTATTTTTAGAAACGTTTTTTATTAGAAAAGAATGCATTTTATTGCATTATATTAGTCTTGTTACCTCAACAAGACTAGACTGCTTTTTTCTTGGTATAAAGTTTTGTAACAGGCAAAGATATTGCGTAGAGTGACTACACCATTAGAACTTCGATCCTTATTTGGGTCAACGTTTTCTATAAAATATGCAAGGTTCTCCATTTTATTTAATATTTCTCTTAACGTTCCCATTTTCAATGCTCTATTGTGTTCTATTCGTTGCCCATTTCTATAATGTCGCCTACGATTTCATTTTGAAGATCTTTCACATTTGCTTATTCTTCACCAACAAATTGAGGACACAACTTATTCAACGTATTCTTCATGGTCGATTTTTTAATTTCACTCCGACTCGCAGAAATGTTTACATCAATGACTTTTGCCATGCTTTCTATACTCTTATGTAAATAAAATTTCTTAAATGTGGCAATTTTCACAGTTCGTTCCATTGATTGGATTAGTGGTGCCGTTTTTGGTGGCAAGGGATTATTTTTATATTAGGGCACAGCTCTTCCAACGTTATAGGATGCCCAGATGCATTATCCAAAAGTAGTATTACTTTAAAGTTATTTTTTGAGCGGTAGCTTTTTACTTCCGACTGAAGTACTAAAAGTCTCGCTGTTTGTTCACAGATTTATTTAACGAAAAAATACAAGAACTGGAAAAACACATACGAACACTTTAACGGTCCAACTACTTCTGTTCCGTTCTTCATGGACTCGTCCGAACATGTGGTCACCGTCATCGATCGATGACGTAGCCCAATAAAACCTGCGATGGTGTTGCCGCGATGCTTCGTTGATAAGTAGAATTTAGCGCGTGTTGTACGCGCATGAGTTCTTTAGACCAATCGCGTTCGTTTTTTACTACCTTTGCGAGAAAATTGCACAAAGTTCTGTTATAACGTTCGCACTGCCCGTTTGCGCGTGGCATCGCAGTAGCGTTCAATATATGCGTCACATTACAGTTTGCTAAAAACGTTTTAAAGTTTTCGGACGTAAAAGCACTACCGCGATCACTGATCAATGTTTTTGGTGAACCGAATATGTTGAATATCATGCGTAAAATATTCACTGCCTTTTTGGTACACGTGGTCTTGGTGGGGTTGAGGAATACGAACTTGCTGTAGGCGTCGATGACCACAAAAACGTACCTGTGACCGGAAGAGGATTTATCTAAAGGACCAAGATGGTCACAATGGATGGTTTGGAAAGGGAAGTTGCCTTTGGGTATGTTTAAAAGCCTGCCCCTAGGGTTTCCACTGTTGGGATTATAAGCCAAGCATTTAATACAATTTTTTATATATTTTGCAACGTAGCGCTTAAGTTTTGGAAACCAGTACGTCTGGCGGACGAGTTCCACAGTTTTGTCTATTCCTGGATGTCCATTAGCGTCGTGTGCAGCTTGAACTATGTTCCGTCGCAAACTTTTGGGTGTTACAAACACAACCTTATTTGGCGCTGATTGGAAACAAAGAATTCCATTTTTCAATCGGAAGTTAGGGTTTGGCGATTTGTCTCCGGCTTCAATTAATTCCATCAAAGCTCGTATTTATGCATCTCTAGTTTGCATGATTTTTGGTAGCCTACATCCATCATCGAAGTCTTTATCAGTAATGGTGAGCATATGAACTCTGCTTAGAGCATCTACATGTTGCATACATTGTGCGGATTGGTGCTCCAAGGTAAAATTATACTCTTCCAGCATAGCTGACCATCTAAGTATTTTGCCATTTATTTCTCGTTTGGCTAGAGCTAATTGAAGTGCGTTGCAATCAGTAACCAATTTAAATTCGATCCCTATAAGATAGACTCGAAATTTTTCTAAACTTCTGACAATAGCCAATAATTCCAAGTCAACAGAATCATATTTAGCTTCGGTCGGCGTCGTAGTTTTAGACATATAGTAGATTGGGTGAAATTTCTTGTCGCTGTAATAACACTGCACCGTATCCATAAGAACTAGCGTCGGTATGCAGTTCTGTTCCTCTATCGGTGAGTAGAGTTTTAGGACGGGGTCGTTTATTAGGGCGTCTTTAATCTTTTGGAATGCGTGAGCTTGTTTGTCATTAAATTCGAACTTTTGGTCCCGTTTTAGTAACGTAGTCAACGGTTTCGCTATAGTTGAGTAACCAGGTATAAAACGTCTAAAATATCCAGAAAGACCCAAGAATACCGCTTCCACTTTGTACGATTGGGGTCGAACTTCGTTGTATTTTATTCGAAAGCCTAGGTAATCTACCTCGGTCTGGAGAAATAAGCATTTATCCAAGCGCAACTGTAAACCATATTCACGGACTAACTCCAAAACCCTTTGAAGTCTGTCAATTCCTTCTTCTATAGTTTGGGAAACTACTAGAATATCATCCATGTATATCAGTATAATTTTTTCGTATAACAGGGGTGCGAAAATCTTGTTTATGTACCTCATGAAAACAGGAGGACTGTTAGCTAATCCAAAAGGCATATAATTATATTCCCATAAGCCATTATGCGTAACGAATGCAGTATATCTCTTGGAATTCTCTGCTACGGGGACGTGAAAGAATCTATTTCTTAAATCGAGTACAGCTGTCCCAATTGCGCTGTCCACATAGGCCATCTCCGAAACTAAAAGAGATAGAAAAAAAGTAGCTTACATGTCATGATCTCGTTTTTCGAGAAAATGCTAATGCCGAAAACTCCGAACAGCTATCGTCTTTTGTTTTCGCCCTATCGGCAAAAACTGAAAATTTTGCAAAAACGACATTCGCGAATATCTCACTTATTATAAAGATGGAGTATTATAAATAAAACATTATATGGGCAACTTTTTACGAAGAATTCAGTGGCGTAAGTAGAATTTTTTTTCCATCTTTTATTTTCGAGATTTTAGACGTAACTTTATTTCTTTTAAATGGAAATCATAGTTGGCTATGACTTAAAATAATTTGTTATTTTCTTCTGATAACAAATATATATAGTTTGTGGGGTATATTTCTTATAGTTATTGAATAATTAACAAAAATTCATTTTGTTCCATCTAAATCTAATGTATGTATTTGAAAGTTAATGTTGCTATGGTGATAACCATACATACTATGATGGAATATAATGTAACAATTTTTTTTGTTCTTTCTAAAACTATTGTATGTATTTAAAACTTAATGTTGTTATGGTGATAACCATACCATGAGGGAAAAGCATTGTTTCCAATTATTGCCAAAGTTTGTAGCAAGGACAGTAGAATCTAACAGGACTGCTACATCCATTGTATTTTTGTAGTCGACTACGGGTTGGTTGCCTGCACTCTACGTCACACTGTTTGCCACGTCTGGTAACTGTCTGTGTTTTTAGAGATTATATGATAGACATTAATACGTCTAAAAACATAAAACTTCAAAACTAATATGAATACGTCTAGGATATAACCTCTAAAAACACACAGCAAACGCATAGACCATAACAACAGCTGGGCGTGGAAAATGGTGTGACGTAGTTTGCGAGTAGGCTGTCACAACAATGGTTGTAGCAGTCCTGTTAGATTTTATTGTCCTTGAGTTTGTAGTAGTATTTAAAAATTCACTAACAACTCTGGCATTATGTGCTGGTGCTCCGTTATATTGAAAATATATCATTTGAGACATATTTAGTGGCAAATTGTCGACCAAAGGCTCAATGTGCTGCCTTAATATATTGAGGTATTTCCCTGAGTTTAAGTTTTTATGGTAGATACTATATGCCAAAATTCTATNTAGAATGAGACGCCGAAGACGACTAAAAAATAAAATATGGGGGGTGCCATTTAAAAAAATGAAGTTATGGTACTTCCAAATTTTGAAAAGTTAACGTGCCATAGTAAAGTGACCAAACGTTCTAGACAGCCGTTCTCGGCACCAAAACATATTCCATCATGTTGCTTAAGCATGTTCTGAATCCTAAATTGATATCCCAAAAATCGAGTGTTCTCTGATTTTTTGAACAAATGTCTGCTGGAGCAGATTTTTCTAGAAAAATTCGAATAACTCGAGAACGGCCGAATCAAATTGCAAAATGTAAAGTTATTCATGTACCTTGAAAACAGACAAATCCAAATATGTAAAAATATACAGGCTGTTCCATTTAAAAAAATAAAGCAGGTGGCGACTTCTGGTATAACCGGACGTGCTAAAAATCTGAAAATATTTTAGTCGAAGAAAACGCAATTGATAATACTTAAATCTGAATTTTTAAATTTTTATTTTGTCCAGAACCCTGTAAAGTTCTAATGGACGGTCGTCGTGGATGACCCTGTATATCATTTGAGACATATTTAGTGGCAAATAGTCGACCAAAGGCTCAATGTACTGCCTTAATATATTGAGCTTTGCGCTTTGTATGGTTTATACTTATTTTTCTTTCATATTCGGGAGCAGCGGCTTTTGGGTCAGACTTCTTGCTGCAATTTCTCTTGCAGGTCATTTTGGTATGTTTTTGTATGTGGTTTGGGGAAGGACCAAATATCTATTAAATTTTCTGCTAACCGGCTGAAGGTTCTTACGTGCGATTGTCTTCTTTCTGGATATCTTATGAAATAAAATTCCGCGGATAACGTCGCATTTTTATCTGATAACATATAGCATTCCATCATGTTACATTTTTCATAATTTTCGAAATTCATTGTAAAGTTTTATTCAGTTTTGGTATACTTTGACACTTAACATGCTGGTGCATCGTACCAGCACATAATGCCAGAGTTGTTATCGAATTTTTAAATACAAACCTTGGCAATTATTCGATACATTATATTCCATCATAGTATGTATGGTTATCACCATAGCAACATTAACTTTTAAATACAACATTAGTTTTAGATAGAACAAAATGAATTTTTGTTAATTATTCAATAACTATAAGAAATATACCCTACAAACTATATATATATTTGTTATCAGAAGAAAAAAACAAATTATTTTAAGCCATAGCCAACTATGGTTTCCATTTAACAAAATAAAGTTACGTCTAAAATCTCGAAAATAAAAGATGGGAAAAAAATTCTACCTACGCCACTGAATTCTTCGTAAAAAGTTGCCCATATAATATTTTATTTATAATACTCCATCTTTGATAATAAGTGAGATATTCGCGATTGTCGTTTTTGCAAAATTTTCAGTTTTTGCCGATAGGGTGAAAACAACAGACGATAGCTGTTCGGAGTTTTCGGCATTAGCATTTTCTCGAAAAACGAGATCATGACATGTAAGCTACTTTTTTTCTATCTCTTTTAGTTTCGGAGATGGCCTATGTGGACATCGAAATTGGGACACCTGGACTGTAAAGTATCGCTGAGCGGAGAGAGCGTCTATTTGATCATTTATGAGAGGAATAGGAAATTTATATCTGTAGGTTATTTTATTAAGTGCTCAGTAATCTATACAGAGCCTTTTCTCCCCATTTTTCTTATCAACGAGAACAACTGGGCTAGCATAATCTGATTTACTTGGCCGTATTATCTCTTTGTTTAACAGTTCATGAACAATTTTATCGACATGTTCTTGTTCGCTCTTTGGTAGTCTTCTAGGTCTGTACACCACTGGTTCCTTTGTGGTTAAACGAATTTTCATTTCAAATTCAGGGAGTCGTTTAAGTTCTTCGCTTGTGCTCAATGTGGTTTGAATAAGCTTTGAACCTTTGTTTCGGTTGTCGACACCGATTTCGTCACTTATTGTTAAGTTTTCAGGTTTGACCTCTATGTTGGCAATTCCCTTTTCTATTCGAAGTACTACAGATGGTTGACGAAAAAAATCTGTTCCGACGATGGTACCTATCATCGATGGTATAGCAGAGTCCTGAACTACATAGAATTGTGTTTTGAACATATTTTCCTTTATTCCGACAGTCAATTTTGCAAGGGCTATGTTTTGACAGGTTGCGCCGTTTAATCCGGATAGAGTAATAGGTTTTACTTCCGAATCTGTCTCGAGATAACAAATATCCAGCTCATGTACTTTGCTTTCGGATATCAAATTAACTGAAGAACCTGTGTCTGCTAGTGCTTGTTGGACGGTACCATTAATTGTTAACGATATCATCATGTTATTTGTTTTGCTTTCTACGATCATCGTAGATTTTCGCTCTATCTTGCAGTCTCTTGCTAGGTGACCCTTTGCTTTGCATTTCGTACAACACGTTAGTGGACAGTCCTTCATGCGATGTACACCATCCATGCAATACGGACAGGTTGCTTTGTCGCATAGTTTATGTTGTGTTGTAACTGTATTTTCAATGGCCGTTCTAGCTTTCGAACTTTGCTCTGTATCCTGATGTTTGATATCTTTATCTTTGGAGAAGCGAAGGTCTTCCTTCTCTTTCCTTTTATGCCTATCGTCTGTAAGGGCAATTTTGGGATCGGTGTCCACTTTTGGTAATCCTTCAAAGGATATGTACGCATCGGCTTGCTTCAACAACTCTGTTGTAGTTTTTGGTGTATTAGCCGCTGCTCCTAAGCCAAGTAATCGCATTGTCAATATGAAGCGTCTAATCGCATGAATTGATTTTTTGCTGCACACATTGCGCACAAGATAATACAATTTTAAAACCTAGTCCACATGTTTCTATTGATGCAAATTTAACATCGCCATTACAAGTTTTATACTTTAAGAATTTTGAAAGAGTTTGAAAGACCAATATAAAGTTTGCTTCGATAGTAGAATTATCATTAGAATTACCTTCACTTCGTTACAACGTTTCAATTTCTTTCGAGACGTACTAAAACTGCTTTCGTCGATCTCGGCTGTCTTTGGATTGAAAGATTGTCTTCTTTTTTTCGGACTTGACTTTTTTTGCCGATCTACACTCACGTGAATCTTTTTGTGTTTCGTTCAAATTGATAAAATGTACACGTAACGTATTTTCGATACTGCTGCTTTAACAGCGAAAATCTTAACGTACTATTTTCACAGAATAACTATTATTAGTTATTCTGTGCTATCGTCTTCACATGTCATGCACCATAAACAGAGATGCGAACGGAGCCTTAGCTGCTTCGAGTGGACCGGGTAAAATCTTTCGCATTTCTGTCTATGCATTTCTTTGCCATGGCATGTGAAGACCATAGTACAGAAATTGAGGAACGTATAATGTAGGTTAAGCGAGTGACGACTGTATTTTTTTGATGATCCCATTGCTGTGTTAAAAAGGAATACTGATTTAACATAACTTCACCTTAAATCCCTAAAAAATCAATTTTAATCTAACAAATATAATTTTTTTCTAATTTCTTTTATGAAAATAGGATACAGATGACAAATATTGGATATCAGCAAGAACACAAGACGAAGCCATGTTAAAAGCATCAAAAAAATTCAACGTCCCCCAATCTTCAATAAAACTCCGTCAAGATGAAGACGTTTTGGATACGTGGTTCTCATCAGGTTTATTTCCGTTTTCAATTTTTGGTTGGCCAGAAAATACACCGGATCTACAAGCTTTTTATCCGTCGTCAGTTTTAGAAACTGGTCACGATATTTTATTCTTTTGGGTGGCTCGAATGGTGTTTTTCGGACAAAAATTATTAGGAAAGTTACCTTTTAAAGAAGTTTATCTTCATCCGATCGTAAGAGATGCGCACGGTCGTAAAATGAGTAAATCTCTAGGAAACGTAATCGATCCGATGGATGTGATTATGGGGATTTCTTTGGAGGATCTTCATCAACAATTATACGACGGAAATTTGGATCCAAAAGAAATTGAGAAAGCTAAAATAGGACAAAAGCAAGATTATCCTGAGGGTATTCCTGAATGTGGTACCGATGCTTTAAGATTTGCTTTATGCGCAATTTGCTCAGGACGCGATATAAATTTGGATATTTTAAGAGTACAGGGTTATAGATTCTTTTGTAATAAAATATGGAACGCAACTCGTTTTGCTTTAACTTATTTCCCGAAAGATTTTCAAGGACCGAATCATTTTGATTTAATTGGAAACGAAAAAGTAATGGATTTATGGATGTTAAGCAAACTTGGAACAGCCATTCAAACATCCAATAAAGGCTTTAAAGAGTACGATTTTCCAGCAATAACAACAGCGATTTATAATGTATGGTTGTATGATTTGTGCGACGTTTATTTAGAGTACTTAAAACCAATTTTCGCCACTGGAAACGAAACTGAGATTAAAGTGGCCCAAATAACTTTATATCGCGCTTTAGATGTTTGCTTACGATTATTATCCCCTTTTATGCCATTTATTACAGAAGAATTATATCAACGTTTACCACATTCCATTGAAAGGAAATCAAAAATTCCAAGTATTTGTGTAGCTCCTTATCCAAACAATGAAATAATATGGAGAAACGAAAACATAGAAACCGAAGTAGATTTTATCCAAAAAATTGGTAAAGCTATTCGTTCCGCTAGAAGCGATTACAATTTACCTAATAAGACCAAAACAGAAGCTTATATTATGTGCGGAGATGCGATAACAGAAATGATTGTTAAGAAATATGTAAGTGCGCTTGAAACGTTATCTTATTCGTCGAAAATTGAAATAAATTGTATCGCACCTGAAGCAAGTTGTACAATTATAACTGTTTCTGATAAATGTGAAGTGCATTTATTGTTGAAAGGCTTAATTGATCCTGAAAAAGAAATGGCGAAAATGACGAAGAAAATTGAGGTTCTTGAAACTTCAAAAACTAAACTAAATCAAACCATAAATGCTGGTGATTATACCGTTAAAGTACCGCAAGAGATTCAACAAAGAGATTCAGAAAGATTAGCACAAATTACCGTGGAATTATCTAGATTAGAAGCTGCTATTGAAGTATTAAAAGTTATGGTTTAATTATTTAAAATTTCGCTTCAAGTTGAATAGCTAATAATACATAAAATTTTATTGCTTTGAAATTTGCAATGGCATTTTTTATTAATTTACCAACTACAATTTTTATGTTAATGGATTATTTTAAAGATGCAATAAAATATTTAAAATGTAAAAGGTTTTTTTTTTAAATCAGAACCAAAAAATTAAAGGTTCCGAATTTAAAGTTCCATGATGAGTTAATTGAAGAGATGCGTATCTGTTTCTCTTAGCAATACACGTGTAATGTTCGACCGAAGGTTCGATAAATGTTTCTGTTTCGGCCAGGACCAGGAACCGAAACATAGTTCGTCGTGTCTCAGCTGGTGTTTGTGGATTTTCGTATCTACTTTGGCTTGCGCGAAATTTCATCTTGTTTCAAGCAAGATGAAACAAGAGTTTGTTTACGAGCTACCGTGTTGAGCGTTTAGAAAAAGTTCGTAAATAGAAAAAGGCTAGGTAAGTATTGTAAGTAGGGCACATACTTACCTTAATTAAAAGTTTATTGTATACAATAATCTGTCTACAATTCTTTACATTATTAATATATTATTTTCACCGTCTACCCTCTTCCTCCATTTCCACACCCTCGGCTCCGCGGCCCAATCATCCCCTCATCCATCCCTTTGTCTCCTCACCCCCACAACCATTCTCATCCATCGTTTCCCCTCTCCCCCCTCTCCTAAGATCTGCCTTCGGTCCATCTCCTCCTCCCTCAACTCACTGCACCCATTCAGCATGTGTTCTAACGTTTCCCATTCCTCCCTGCACAGCCTACACCACCTCTCCTCATCGGCCATCCAGTATTTGTTGGCTCTCTCCTCGTTTCCACAACGGAACCTAGCCACCAACTTTTTCCCTTCCTCATCTCTTTCCAATAACAAGTATCTAGGCAGCCCCTCCGTAATTATGTCCCTGTATCTTTCGTTATACCTTCCCTCTTTTATTTGTGTCCTTCTTTCCTGTCTCTGCACATCTCGGTCCCTGTCTCTCAACTCCCTCCACATCTCCCTACCCACCCTTCGTCTACTATTTATCTCCGTTACCGAGTAGCCCGCTCGTCTATAATAGTTGTCTCTGTGTCCTTTCCCATATCTGACCTTTCCCTCTCTAATTTCCCTCCAACACTCCCCCAGGATCCCGCAGCTTGGCCTCCCTTCTATTCTTTCTTCATATTTCACTGCCCTCCTGCCCGCCTCCACCCTGACCTTATCCACCTTTACCTCTTCCCTCACTATATACCCCGGTGTTTCTCTCGCCACCCCAAGCACCCATCTCCAATATCTAGCCTGCACGTCCTCCAGCGGTCCCTGCTCCCTCCATCCCCATACCTCTGCCCCATACATCATCACACTGCTAACCAGACCTTCAAACATAATCTTCCTCGCTGCCACATTCCTTCCAAAGACTCTCTTCCCCAACCCCATACTTGTCCCATCACCTTATTCGCCTTTTTTGCCATAGCTATCACATGCGACCCCTCCCTGTTGTCCTCCCTGAACACATACCCCAAGTAAGTATACTCCCTAACCTCCTCGATCTCTTTTCCCTCCCATCTCCAGTTTTCTGTTCTTTTTCTCCCACCCTCTAGTCTATCCTCCAGGTCCGCCGTATACAGTACAAACAGACTTGGGCTCAGCGGACATCCCTGCCTCAGTCCCTTCATCGTCCTGAACACGTCGCTCAGCTTATCTCCCACTTTTATCCTAGCCATAGTCTCCATGTATATTTCCTTCACTCTCGCAATTAGGTGTTCCGTGATCCCCCTCCGCCCACAACTTTCCCCTATCCACCTTATCAAAAGCCGCATTCAAATCTATAAACAGGGCGTACAATTTCCCTCCCTTCTTATCCAGCTCTCTATTTGCCAGATGCTTCAACACGTACACGTTGTCCATTGCTCCCCTTCCCTTCCGAAAGCCTGCCCGCCCATCCGGCAAAATTCCCCCCAACTCCATCTCCTCCTCCAGTCTTCCCAGCAGTATCTTCGTGTATACCTTGTATGCCGAATATAGTAGGTTAATTCCCCTGTTGCTCTCTACCCTTCCCTTAGCCCTTACCCTTTTTATATACTGGGCAAATTACCCCCACATTCCATCCCTCCGGAATCCCACCCCCTCTCCATACACTATTCATCCCCTCCAACAACTTAACTCTCACCACCCTTGATGCTTCCAACCATGCCTCGTTCTGGATCCCATCTTCCCCTGGCGCCTTTCCCTTCTTCAATCCCCTAAGCACTGCTTCCATCTCCTCTACCCCATCTCCCTCATAGCCTCCCAAACCCGTTAGCCTCGTTTCAACCCCTCCCAATAATCCCATAAAGTAACTCTCCCATTCTGTCATGTGTATTTCGCTGGTTATCCTCTCCTTACCCTTCTTTCTCTTTTTCAGATACCTCCAGACATCCCCTTCCCTTGTTATCCCTCTAATCTCTGCCGCGTCCTTCTCCCTCAGTTCTGTTTTCTTTCTACTGCGTAACTCTCTGTATCCCCTCCTGGCCTCCCTATATCTATCCACCCCTATCTTCCCCCGTCTCCACTGCCCCAACCTCCTTCTCGCCTCCATCTTCGCCTTCTTGCACTCGCCATCATACCAGTCGTTCCTCCCTACTCTGCCCCCCCTACGTACACACTCCCTTTTCAGTGTTGCCTCCCGCACTACCTGGATAAGTTCTTCCAAACCATTGATCTCTTGTATCCTCTGTTGCCAAGTGTCGAGGTTTCCCCTGTAGAATGCTACCCCTTCTTCCGACCAGTCTGTCCTGATGAACTTGCTCCCCAGTTCCGCTCGCCTTCTGCCGTCCACCCCCTTTACCTCCAACGGTTGGTGATCCGACTCTACCGTTTGTCCCACTTTAAACCTTTCCACCCTCTCCCACATTTCCTGATCCACCAGTCATAATCAATCACAGATGTCCCCCTCGCCCCAATGTTTAGTATACTCCCCTTCCTTTCCTTCCTCTTTATTCCCATTCAGTATCTCCCATCCGTTCTGCTCCTTCTCCACCCATCTCAGCATTTCTGTTCCTTCTCCATTCCGCACAGTATCCTTCGACCGCCGTCGTCTCTCCTCTCCCCATATCTCCACCCTTCCCCACTCCTCGCCCACTCTAGCATTGAAATCCCCTCCCATTATTATATATCCCTCCGTCCCATCCCCTGCCATCTCATCCTATTGCTTTCTCGACTCTTTCATTGACTTACATACTTACCTATGCACCTTAGCTAAATTAATTTAAAATGTCAATATATGTGGGCGCGAACGTCCATTTTACGAAACAGGAGTTCGGGTGAAAGGCTAGTAATAATGTAATTTGATACATGATAACATTGAAAACAGAATAATGTTTTGAAATGGATATGCAGTAATTAAAAAAATGTATACAGNCAAATCTATAAACAGGGCGTACAATTTCCCTCCCTTCTTATCCAGCTCTCTATCTGCCAGATGCTTCAACACGTACACGTTGTCCATTGCTCCCCTTCCCTTCCGAAAGCCTGCCTGCCCATCCGGCAAAATTCCCCCCAACTCCATCTCCTCCTCCAGTCTTCCCAGCAGTATCTTCGTGTATACCTTGTATGCCGAATATAGTAGGTTAATTCCCCTGTTGCTCTCTACCCTTCCCTTAGCCCTTACCCTTTTTATATACTGGGCAAATTACCCCCACATTCCATCCCTCCGGAATCCCACCCCCTCTCCATACACTATTCATCCCCTCCAACAACTTAACTCTCACCACCCTTGATGCTTCCAACCATGCCTCGTTCTGGATCCCATCTTCCCCTGGCGCCTTTCCCTTCTTCAATCCCCTAAGCACTGCTTCCATCTCCTCTACCCCATCTCCCTCATAGCCTCCCAAACCCGTTAGCCTCGTTTCAACCCCTCCCAATAATCCCATAAAGTAACTCTCCCATTCTGTCATGTGTATTTCGCTGGTTATCCTCTCCTTACCCTTCTTTCTCTTTTTCAGATACCTCCAGACATCCCCTTCCCTTGTTATCCCTCTAATCTCTGCCGCGTCCTTCTCCCTCAGTTCTGTTTTCTTTCTACTGCGTAACTCTCTGTATCCCCTCCTGGCCTCCCTATATCTATCCACCCCTATCTTCCCCCGTCTCCACTGCCCCAACCTCCTTCTCGCCTCCATCTTCGCCTTCTTGCACTCGCCATCATACCAGTCGTTCCTCCCTACTCTGCCCCCCCTACGTACACACTCCCTTTTCAGTGTTGCCTCCCGCACTACCTGGATAAGTTCTTCCAAACCATTGATCTCTTGTATCCTCTGTTGCCAAGTGTCGAGGTTTCCCCTGTAGAATGCTACCCCTTCTTCCGACCAGTCTGTCCTCATGAACTTGCTCCCCAGTTCCGCTCGCCTTCTGCCGTCCACCCCCTTTACCTCCACCTCCAACGGTTGGTGATCCGACTCTACCGCTTGTCCCACTTTAAACCTTTCCACCCTCTCCCACATTTCTTGATCCACCAGTACATAATCAATCACAGATGTCCCCCCTCGCCCCGATGTTTCGTCTACTTCCCTTCCTCTTTATTCCCATTCAGTATCTCCCATCCGTTCTCCTCCACCCATCTCAGCATTTCTGTTCCTTCTCCATTCCGCACAGTATCCTTCGACCGCCGTCGTCGCTACTCTCCCCATATCTCCACCCTTCCCCCCTCCTCGCCCACTCTAGCATTGAAATCCCCTCCCATTATTATATATCCCTACGTCCCATCCCCTGCCATCTCATCCCATTGCTTTCTCGTCTCTTTCATTGACTTACATACTTACCTATGCACCTTAGCTAAATTAATTTAAAATGTCAATATATGTGGGCGCGAACGTCCATTTTACGAAACAGGAGTTCGGGTGAAAGGCTAGTAATAATGTAATTTGATACATGATAACATTGAAAACAGAATAATGTTTTGAAATGGATATGCAGTAATTAAAAAAATGTATACAGGTATCCCGAAACTCAACGTCAAGCAGGTACCGGGTGAGAGGCTAACCCATACTTATTCTGGTAAAAATAAGAAAAAAATTCCATGTCTCTTAGTTAAATTGCAAGAAACTCGGAATAAAGACCTTAGAAGGTATAGAGAGAACTTTTCCAGAAAAATGTTAAAAATACATAATAATAGAGACATTTTAATCAGACTATTAATATCTTCAGACCCAATAATAACATCATTTCATAGCAAGAAATCAAAGAATAATACAGATTTTTCTGAAGAACTTATAAGCCTTCTCTGCTTTGAAAATGATGAAGAAAGAAATAATTTTTTATCGTCAATTGCAACTAATATTGAAATTGTAAAACACAGTGAGGACGAAGAAAAATAAACATAGGTATAAAAAAAATTTAAAACAGTATGTTAAAATACTAAATTTGCTAATGTGTTCAAACATAATTTATGGTTATCATTGCATTATTAAACATTTGTCACAAATTAACACAGAAACAGAGAATAGTGTAGTTTACTCTATTATTACAAATAAAATAGTAACAGTATATTTTAACTGCTATTTTTTCGAAGACAACTACATGAAAAATACTCAGAAGTTACGTAGAATCCATAAATGCAACAAAAAAATGGGGGTTCCTATTTTAAAATGTCAACATATGGTATCGCAATTTTAGGACACCTGTACATTTCAGTTTTATCTCAAAAAATATAGCGCGTTAAAAAATATAACATAGATATTTACGAATTTTTTCTGGAAGAATATCCCTCAAATTTTTATCGAATTGATTTCATACTTTATGTACACAGCGTATACAGATGTCTCACGTAACTTAGCGAACTTTTAGAGTCCACTATTTCGTACAGTTTTGAAATTTTGGGAGCATGGGTTGTTCATTCGGAACTTTCGATCTAAAATAATTTCAAGATGGCTGTCACTTCAGGTCTACCGGAAGTAGATCATATCCTCGTTATTTTAAATGGAATGCTACAGTTTTTATTACACCTTTTAATTGTTCCATTCCATTTAAAATAACGAAGTTATGGTCTACTTCTGCTAGACCGGAAGTGGCAGCCGTCTTGAAAATGTTTTAGATCGAAAATTTCGAATGAACCACCTATGCTACCAAAATTTCAAACCTCTATGAATAGTGGAACCTTAAAAAGTTTTAACGAACCAGTTACGTGAGACTGCTGTATACAGTGTGTCCCCGGATTGTGTCCCCGTAAGGTATAATTGACGATTAATTTTTGAATTCAGATTCCATCTTTTGCAATTAAAGTCTGGTTGTCATAAAACGAAACATAACCAAGTTTTATGTCAAATGTCCTCAAAGTACCAAAGTGAACGCAAGAAGTTTGTTAACCGTTGCAGATAAAGTGGTCTTTCTGAGCAATGTACAACAAAAGTTGANCCTTAGCTAAATTAATTTAAAATGTCAATATATGTGGGCGCGAACGTCCATTTTACGAAACAGGAGTTCGGGTGAAAGGCTAGTGATAATTTAATTTGATACATGATAACATTGAAAACAGAATAATGTTTTGAAATGGATATGCAGTAATTAAAAAAATATATACAGGTATCCCGAAACTCAACGTCAAGCGGGTACCGGGTGAGAGCCAACCCATACTTATTCTGGTAAAAATAAGAAAAAAATTCCATGTCTCTTAGCTAAATTGTTTTTTTGAAAATGTTAAAAATTGTTTCCGTAGAATCTACAGCGTAGATCATATATTTAGGTACTAGGGTCAGAAATTTTCGCACTTTAATAGTGATTTTTGTAATAATGTAATCCTTATTAACTATGCTACCATAGGAGTCACAAATGAAACAACAAAAGTCGTTAGTTTTGCGAAATAAGAATTAGTTTGATTGTATCCAGGTTGGCCTGCTTTCAGAAGATGCGCAAGAAACTCGGAATAAAGACCTTAGAAGGTATAGAGAGAACTTTTCCAGAAAAATGTCAAAAATACACAATAATAGAGACATTTTAATCAGACTATTAATATCTTCAGACCCAATAATAACATCATTTCATAGCAAGAAATCGAAGAATAATACAGATTTTTCTGAAGAACTTATAAGCCTTCTCTGCTTTGAAAATGATGAAGAAAGAAATAATTTTTCATCGTCAATTGCAACTAATATTGAAATTGTAAAACACAGTGAGGACGAAGAAAAATAAATATAGGTATAAAAAAAATTTTAAAATAGTATGTTAAAATACTAAATTTGCTTATGGGTTCAAACATAATTTATGGTTATCATTGCATTATTAAACATTTGTCACAAATTAACACAGAAACAGAGAATAGTGTAGTTTACTCTATTATTGCAAATAAAATAGTAACAGTATATTTTAACTGCTATTTTTTTGAAGACAGCTACATGAAAAATACTCAGAAGTTATGTAGAATCCATAAATGCAACAAAAAAATGGGGGTTCCTATTTTAAAATGTCAACGTATGGTATCTCAATTTTGGGACACCTGTACATTTCAGTTTTATCTCAAAAAATATAGCGCGTTAAAATATATAACATAGACATTTAAGATTTTTTTCTGGAAGAATATCCCTCAAATTTTTATCGAATTGATTTCATACTTTATGTACACAGCGTATACTGCTGTATATATTATAGTACATATATAAGTATACAGGGTGTCTCACGTAACTGGTTCGTTAGAACTTTTTCAGGTTCCACTATTCGTAGAGATTTGAAATTTTGGTAGCATGGGTTGCTCATTCGGAACATTCGATCTAAAATATTTTCAAGATGGCTGCCACTTCAGGTCTACCGGAAGTAGATCATATCCTCGTTATTTTAAATGGAATGCTACAGTTTTTATTACACCTTTTAATTGTTTTTTAATAGCCAACATATTTTTTATGTACAATTAAAAGGTTCCATTCCATTTAAAATTACGAAGTTATATTCTACTTCTGCTAGACCGGAAGTGGCAGCCGTCTTGAAAATGTTTTAGATCGAAAGTTTCGAATGAACCACCTATACTACCAAAATTTCAAACCTCTATGAATAGTGGAACTTTAAAAAGTTTTAACGAACCAGTTACGTGAGACTGCTGTATATATTATAGTACATATATAAGTATACAGGTGTCTCACGTAACTGGTTCGTTAGAACTTTTTCAGGTTCCACTATTTGTAGAGATTTGAAATTTTGGTAGCATGGGTTGTTCATTCAGAACTTTCGATCTAAAATATTTTCAAGATGGCCGCCACTTCCTGTCTACCGGAAGTAGTCCATAACTTCGCTATTTTAAATGGAATGCTATAGTTTTTATTACACAGTTTAATTGTACGTAAAAAAATAGGTTGACTTTGATAAAAGTTATTGGTACCTGGCGTTTTTCGTTTTCGAGTTATTTTGGTTTTAAACTTTATTTGGTAAATTTCAACATGTTCTTTAAAACTTCATATCTCAGCCAAAGTTCATTCAAAAAAGGTCTACTTTGGCACAATTGCTCTTCAGATGTTGTCATATAGATTGTCATTTGTTGTATCGGAGTATCTTATACAGAATGGTCAAAAATGATTGAACATCATGGTAAATTATTCCAACGCCGATATTTGAAATTTATTTTGTATTGATGGCGAATGTAATAAATTTTTGGACTGGATGTGTCGAACACTTAAGGAGAGATGCCTAACAAACCTAACGCCCATCACAAGGAAGAATTTCAAAAAATTGATGAAGAATTTCTTAGTTCTGGATATATCGAGACCAAAAGACATCGTATACAGTAATACCCCGTAGTTACGCGATAGGTGGGACTGACAGTAGCCGCGTAAATCGAAAATCGTGTAAGTCGAAATTTGATGAATACATATTATAAAATCAAGGATTAATAAACATTAATTTTGTTAAAAAAATGTATGTACGGGATGGTTCAAATTCGATGTCCGAATAGGCTATCTCGAAAACTATACGAGTTAGAAAAAAAGTAGTTAACATGTCTCGATCTCTTTTTTTAAATAAATTCCAATGTCGAAAACCTCAAAGCGCTATCGTTAGAAAAACCGCGTAAGTACGGGGACGTGTAAGACGGGGTCGCGTAAGTCGAGGTTTTACTGTATTTCCGGTCACTAGTGATGAAGACAACGAAATAAATATTTTATTGTATTTTATTGCATTTCCAAATTCAATTTAATAACAAATTTATATTTTTATTCAAATCTAATTTTTGTCTTCATCTCTGATACAATATATGACAATCTATTTGAGAGCATCTGAAGAGTAATCGTGCCAATTTAGATCTTTTTTGAATGAACCATGGCTGGGATATAGGGTTTTAAAGAACATGGTGAAATTTGCCAAAAAAACCTTAAAATCAAAATAACTCGAAAACGAAAAACGCTAGGTACCAATAACTTTTATCAAAGTCAACATATTTTTTTACGTACAATTAAAAGGTGCAATAAAAACTATAGCATTCCATTTGAAATAACGAAGTTATGGTCTACTTCCGGTAGACCGGAAGTGGCAGCCATCTTGAAAATATTTTAGATCGAAAGTTTCGAATGAACCACCTATGCTACCAAAATTTCAAACCTCTATGAATAGTGGAACCTTAAAAAGTTTTAACGAACCAGTTACGTGAGACTGCTGTATATATTATAGTACATATATAAGTATACAGGTGTCTCACGTAACTGGTTCGTTAGAACTTTTTCAGGTTCCACTATTCGTAGAGATTTGAAATTTTGGTAGCATGGGTTGTTCATTCGGAACTTTCGCTCTAAAATATTTTCAAGATGGCCGCCACTTCCGGTCTACCGGAAGTAGATCATAACTTCGCTATTTTAAATGGAATGCTACAGTTTTTATTACACCTTTCAATTGTATTTAATTGTTTTATCATAGTCAACATATTTTTTTACGTACAATTAAAAGGTGCAATAAAAACTATAGCATTCCATTTGAAATAACGAAGTTATGGTCTACTTCCGGTCGACCGGAAGTGGCAGCCATCCTGAAAATATTTTACAGACATCCTGTATATTACTTATTGTTAGGGTACATGAAATAAATGTACCATGTTTTCGGAGTTACATTATCTTAAACATCCAACCCAACTCACAACAAAACCTTTATTTCGCTTTTATTTTCAAATATTCGTTTCAAAATCCTAAATTTTGTTTTAAGCACTGTTTATAGATGAAATAAATCCTAGCTAACCATTAAGGAGATATTATAATGGTATTAAACATTTTCAACTTTATTTAGTTGTAATTAGATTTTTGGCCAGATATTCATAACTTCCTAACACCCTTGTTTGTAGATATACGTATATTGTTTATAGTATAGATATACGATATATGTATATCTATAAACAAGGCTAACACTGTACGTCATTTAGATACAGCCTCCTGTATACGGGTACAATAATTAACAACACACTGTATTTCGAACAGTGTCATTTCTTAAATATCAGAAATACAGAAAACTGTAATTCTATTATTATTTTAGGTTAAATTAATGCCAAAGTCACTAAAAACTGGCATTTAAATTTATTTCATTAACGTTCCATTTGTTCATCCTACAAAAACACATTTCATTTATAAAGAAAGTTAAAACATCATTCAGAAATATGGCAAAAGAATCGTTGGACCCTTTTGTTGAGTATGTAAAATCGCTAAAAACAGTAAGTTCACGTTGCTATTCATTTATAGTATCATTAATAAATTATTACTTTTTTAAGCATCTCCCAATAAAGCCCCACAAAGTCTGTTTTGTTTTGGGCAATGAATCATGCGATTTAGATTCAACAATCTCCTCATTATCATTGGCCTATTTTCTAAATAAAACCAATACAAATCAAAATTTAGTTCTCCCATTATTAAATGTGCTGGAAAATGAGTTTCCCTTACGTACTGAAAACATTTATGTTCTTAACAAATGTGATATAAAGGAAAATTATTTAATCTATAAGTAATCAATTATAAATTGAATGATAAAACTTTAAATAATTATTATTCTTATTTTTAGAGATACTATCAATTTAAATGAATTAAAACAGGACAAAGAACTTGAAATAATTTTAGTTGATCATCATGTTTTATCTAAACATTTTGAATTTCTAAAAAATAATGTGAAAAGAATTTTTGATCACCGCCCTTTAGATCCTAAAGCTAATTGGGATAAAGATATTATTATTGATATGAGAACAGTAGGATCTTGTACCACTTTAATTGCTAATGAAATATTAAAGAACGATATTTCTGCCTTAAGTCCAACTGTTGCAAAGTGTCTTTATGGTAATAAACACTTATAAAAATCTTTAAAAAAAAATTAATATGATATAACTTTTCAGAAACAATAATCTTTGATACAATTGGTTTAAAAGAAGATGCAGGAAAAGTAAAACAATTAGATTTAGAAATATCTCATAAACTTGAATCTCATTTAAAAATCAAATCGAATCCAGCAAAATTATTTGATGAATTATGGTCAGCTCACATCGACGTTTCAAAGCTTTCCCCAAAACAACTTTTAGCAAAAGATTTAAAAATACTAAATAATGTCTTAATACCTGGCTTACCAATGTTGGTGAAAAAATATTTAAATCAAACTGAAGTTTTGAAACACATACGAGATTTTTGTGATGAAAGGCAATGTGATCATATTATTTTAATGGGTTTAGACGCACAAGGTACTGAAGTTAAACGAGATATCGCCTTTTATTCGATTTGCCAAACAAGTAAACTGTTAAGTGATATTATTAAAATACTGAAAGATTATGAAGATTTAGAAATGAAAGAGGAATGTTGTGATGTTGATGATATTAGGTATTTTAGGCATAATCTTAAGATTTCTAGAAAACAAATTATGCCAAAAATACAAGAAGTTTTGGAAAAATTGAATTAAATTTGTTTTTTGTTAATAAATTGTACAACCTGAAAACAAGATAGTGTTTTATATAGGAGTAAAATTGAATACATTTATGAAACTAGATGTATTAGAGGTAGCGGTTTTATATGTGTGAACATGTAAAATTAATTTCGAACACAGCTGTTACAAGTACAAAGGAAAAGTGCTCCCAGTAACCAGTACAAATAGCGCTATAAATTATTTTTACGCCAAGTAATAAGTAACAAGTGTTTTTAAAAAGTACTTGTAATACAAGTAATTACACAAAGTAATTACTCGTTTTAGGGCCGATCTTACAAAACAGTTTATACCGCTCCGTATACCAAGAATAACTAAATGTTGGTATAAACACTAGACTAAACGTCTTACAATACCGGCGTATAGCATAAGTAACGGTGTATGGCGCAGGATAGCTATACCGTGCAATTCAACGCGAATAGCTTATACTAGGAATAAGTCAGAGATTGTTTGACATTGATTATAATCAATCAGACGTAATAATTATTGTATGAATAATGCGTAATGCTGATTTTCAACTTAAAATTTGGGAGATATCCGAAAATAATTTAAATTTGCGAAAAAAACTAAGGGTGATGTAAATTTTTCATTATTTTTTCCGGATTCAGCACCCAAAAATCAATAAAGATCGCCTTTCAGTTTCAAAAAAGGTTTTTGATCGCAGGCATGAGTAATTAATATTAGAACTAACACTACACTTAGAACTAGAAACATTCGGTTTTAGCCATATGTCTCTTAAGACGTCTAAACTCTAATGGTTCTAGTTCTAGTATTAGTTCTACATTTAGTTCCATAAATATACAACAACCTAGCGCTGAATAACTATAAAACTAGAACTAACACTAGACCTAGAAGTAGAAACATTCGTGCGTCTGAAGACGCACGGCTAAACACGAAACTTTCTAATTCTGGGTCTAGTGTTAGTTCTAGTTTTACATTAGTACTATCATCAGAACTAACACTATACCTAAAACTAGAATCATTCGGGTTTAGCCATCTTTAGAGATGTGCGGCTAAACCCAAATGATTCTAGTTCTAGGTATAGTGTTAGTTCTACATGGTAACAGTGCTAGTGTAAAACTAGAACTACTTGTAAGATCGGCCCAGTACTCCAATTATTTTAGTTATTTAGAGTAAATAAATGTACTCTAAATAGCTTAAACAGTACTCAAACGGGTGCTGTAATGAGACTCCTTACAGCATCCGATGCTGTAATGAGACTCCTTACAGCATCCGATGCTGTAATGAGATTTTAGTAACATTTTATGGAACCAGTTCAATTTGGTGACATTGGGTCATTAATTTTTCAAGTTGTCAATGTGACAATTTTTGTCTATGGATGTTTAAACACGTTCTTAGCATCGAATACAAGGTCCACAATGATGAGGACATTGAAGTGAATACATTTTGTGTTTTGACAGTTTTTAATTGTCAATTCAAATTTCTATTTTCAAGTGTTACGGTATTACCAACTGCTGCATACCTATTACCCTACATTGTCAAAATTTATTTTATTTTTGTTAAAAAAAAGGATAAAAATGCGAATTACAAAAAATAGCATAAAAAACACGTTTCATAAGACTTAAAGCACTCATTCATTAAAAAACTCGTGGCTTCGCCAGTCGTTTTTCAACTTGAATTCGTGCATTTCAAGCGTGTCTTACGAAACTTGTTTTTTAATATACTATTATGTACTTCCAGTACATTACATTACATTACATAGAATACATATCGGGTAGGCGAACCAACCAACCTTGCACCGCGACCCTAAGGATCTATTGTACCCCAATAGATATCGTTATCAAAGTTCACCGTGCAGTCCACTGCTCTTAACGAACATTAATACCTTGCTCAGTATTAGATCTTTTGAGATCTTTTGAGGAGATAAACTGCGACCCAAAAATCGAGAATCTGATACGGTTAACGGCAGGGCAGTGCCATAAAACATGCTCAACCGTCTCTGTTTCCTCCGCACATAGTCGGCATTCAACATCGTCGGCTAAACCCAATAAGTTGAGATGTGCTTTTAATCGGCAGTGCCCAGTAAAAACACCCATTAGAAATTTTATGCTACTACGGGCAAGTCCTAAAATATTCCCGGGTTTGACAGTGGCGATGTTAATAAACACCTTAGCATATCTCATTCCAGGAGAACTGGTCCACAGTAGGCGAAGTCTTCAGCCAACAGTCCAATTCTATATTTGGCCATCGCAAATGATACACCAACTGCTGGTTCCGGCGCCACAAACGCTTCAGCGCTGCCATCTTGTGCTAGCTTATCTGCCACTTCATTGCCAGCAACCTCAAAGTGACCCTGGACCCAGATCAGAGAAACTCTGTTATCACAACTCAGTGTGTTTAATGTTCTCTTACAATCATTAACCAGAGCCGACACCGTTTTCACGGTTTGCAGCGCCTGGAGAGCGGCTTGCTTGTCTGAGAAAATTCGTACTGTCATGTTCTTCACCCCTCTTTCAAGAAGGATTTTAGCACCCATGTCAATAGCAAATTCTTCCGCCTGGAATACAGTACAGTACGTACCCAGGCTGTAAGCTTGCTTAATTCGAGGTGTCTGGCAGTGTACTCCAAATGATGCCGCCAAATCTGACGGCATTGATAGCACAGTATCAGTGCTTACATGTCGGGGACAGTTTTGAGCATATTGCTTAAATCGTGAGTGACTAGAAATTGGTTGTTCTAGCCACTTTCTCTATATGCAAATGTAGAGGAGATAGGCCAAGCAGAACCTCCATTGCTAGAGTTGGCGTTGTGCTTATCGCACCAGAGATTGCCAATCCAGCTATTCGTTGAATTCGTGAAAGTTTACTGATAACTGAAGTCTGTCGGAGTTTCCTATACCAGGCTGCTGCTCCGTATGTGATCATAGGTCTAACCACAGTCACATAGAGCCAGTACAGTCTTTCAGGGGTAAGACCCCAATTTTTTCCACAAAGACTGCGACAAGTCCACAAGGATAGTCTAGCTTTGTGCAAAACTCCCTGCAAATGTCCATTCCATGACAGGGTTTTGTCTAGGATTACTCCTAGATATTATACTTCCTTTGAGAAAGGAATTTCTTCTCCTTGGATAGTTGGGCGGATTAGTCCATCCAACTTTCGTTTCCTGGTGAAGGGCACAACAATCGTCTTTTGCGGGTTTAGTGAGAGGTTCTCTCCCTTACACCAAGCGCAAATGGTATCTAGGGTCACCTAGAGGACTTTAGATATCCTCGACAAACAGGTTCCTTTGACCATTACGACAATGTCATCAGCATAACATTTCTACACCAACGGCTTCGACTATCGGAATCAGATCGTCAACCAGGAGGGACCAAAGCAGGGGCGATAACACCTCTCCCTGCGGGCAGCCACCCCCCGGCGATCTGAAGCGTATCGTATCACCGTGGAGTGAAGTAGAAACTATTCTACTATCAAGCATATTGCGGATTCAACCCGCTATAGTTGCTTCCACTCCCCTGTCAAGAGCAGCTCTTTCAAGAGATTGTGGTATTGCGTTGTTGAACGCTCCCTCTATATCCAGAAATGCACAAACCAAGATTTCTTTATCCTGCAGCGTCCTGGATACTCTTCCTTGCTGTAACAAAGCAGGAAAGATATTGTCTTCTCCAGGCGATTTGAGCGGCTTAAACGTTTGAATCGCCTGATCCACGGATGTGCAAGTGACGATTTTTCTAGCCACACTCCATTCCGTATTTGAGGGGCGCTTTGCCTTGCAGGAATAGCCCGCTGTGGAATTATCAGCCCTCATCATCAAGCTTCCTGGGAAGTGAGTTTGCATGAGAAGCCCTAACGAGGCTCTGTTAGAGTCCGTAAAACTACCGTCAGGCCGCTTAAGTGAGCCCAGGGGTAGTGCCGGATCTCTAACGAGAATCTTGTGAATTCTTGCACTGCTGGGTGTGTCTTTCACTCGCTCACAGAACCTCCTCCAAGACTCTCTTTTTGCCTTACTTATATTTCTCCCATTCACCTAATGTCTTGGCCCGGTTAAAGAGCCTCCTGACCTCTTGTCTTTCGGCGCTGAGATTAATTCCACCAGGGTGTGCCCCAATTATTACTTTTCACCTTCAGTGGACTGCTACTGTGATAGGCAGAGCGAATTGCCACAGAGATCTGCTCCGTGGTTATTTCAACCTGATCACAGTTCCAACGGTTGCGATGACACTAGTTAGGTTATATGGCAACTCATAAACAAGGCAACTCGTAAACAGATCCCAATTAGTGCTACGGGGATTACGGTACGTACAGTCCGATTTCATCCCTAGGTCAATTTTAAATTGAATATGTCTATGACACGACGGTTCAGAGGATACCCTCCAGGAGATTATCTTGGAGTTTAATATAATTGAGCTGAACGTAATGTCAAGTACCTTTGCTCTATTTCTGGTAACAAAGGTTGGTTTGGCGCCTACATTATTAACAGTAAGCCCCTCCCCTAATAGGTAGTCAAAAAGCAACTCACCTCTTTCATTTGTGTGGTGGGCATTGGCGTCACATCCAACAACAACTTGTAGGTTATTCCTCCGGCTGTAGGCCATTATGTCTCGCACAGCGACCGGGGACAATTTCTGTCCAGCCCTTCTCACCTTGGATTCTCAGAACTGCAGCCACACAATCGCGGTCGCTATGCTCTGAGATTAAGAAAGCATTAATGTTGTTCCTGATAAGTAAGCAGGCTCTGGGTCTATCCCCTGAGCAAAGTAACTTACCGGATAAATTACCGAGTCCGCTGATGCGCCCGGTATTGGCGAGCCATGGTTCCTGGATGAGGGCAATATCAATTCGCTCACTCATCCAGGTTCTGCTAAGGACAGCCGTAGCCGCCCTAGCGTGCTGCAGCTTTGCCTGTAAACAGTTAATAGATTTATCCACTGTACTGAGTACAGTTTCCCCTACTTACTTCTCGCTTGGGATGGAGCAGCCGTCTCACCGGCCCCTCTCACTCCAGCGCACCCTCTCGAGCTTCGGGCAGGAGTGGAGGATTTTCCGCTTCCTCCACTCTCCCGTGGTGCAGCACCTGCACGACGCCCCCGACTGAACACCCCGGCACGTACAGAAATCGCACCTCGGCCGGGTTTTGCAAGACACTTCGTCAACCGCGAAGGTCCACGTTTGCCCCGGTCTGGATCTGGTGGTATTCAGAACCGTCCATTCGGATGTTTGGAGTGAGTTGTTCATCACCTCCAATCAGGTTAACACCGTCTCTTTGGTGAGAGGAACACTAGCTTCATCGTCTGGGAAAAGGTATAATTAATACACAAACCAACCAAACTTTATGCTTTGTTGCACCGTAATAGCACAGTACTATCGCAAGCATTTGAAATTGTGTGAAGTAAGGTAAGTAAACCACACAATTGTTCTATGGGATCTGGGAGAATGAGAATTATAAACACTATGAGCTGCACTAACTTGAAATAACCGACTCGCGTCGACGCTGCGCCGGCTAGTCGCCTGTATATGAGACAAAGTATTGTAATCGTGCAAAAATTCGACCTCGACATTTTGATGGATATACATTTTGAGGTCCCCTGAGTCCATATTAACCATTTTCAGCATGTACGTACGTATGTATGTATATGTATTGTGTAAACACGATAACTTAAAAACGCAATCAGTTGCCGTAATGACATTTGGTATATAGCTATTAAACCAAAATCGAAAGCTCGTAAACAACTTTTAGACCAAATCTACCAACCGGAAATGGCACTTTACCTGAAGAGGTAAAACTGCATTATACCACAGAATAAGATGAAATTCAAAACCGGATTAACGGAATTGTAACATGATTTTAACAGAGTGGCCAAGTCCCGTATATTTTAGTAAAGAATTTAGATCTATTAAATTTTAAAAAAAGCTATTATTTACTAAAAAATAAATTGATAACTATTAAAAAAATTAATAAGTAATGAAAAAAAATAATAACTACTAAAGAAAAACAACCAATTACTAAAAAAAAGTATTAAAAAAAATATATTACCAAAAAAAGAACTAAAAATTTGCGTATTAATTACTAAAAAAAGTTACTGGTAAAACTGTATTATACGGTGATGAAACTGAAATGGGGTGGGGGTACCCAGCAGTTGTGTCTGTGTGTGTGTGCAAAACATACGTTTAATACAACTATTGCCCACTAGAGGTTTACTAAGTAGGTTTTTACTAAAAACAAGATTTGTGTATAACAACGGTGGGCAAATGCCAAGGTTTATATATTAAAGGTTGTCTAAGTTCCTATGCTGCAATACTTTGATTTTAGTTTGTGGGCGAGGGGCAAGAGCAGGAGTGTTTCGTGACGTAAGCGATCACGGATTGCGCACGCAACCTCATGGCCATGTGGTGCTCCATGCATTTGTTTAATTTGCGTAATGCGCAGTATGGTTGCGTACGAACCTAGACAACCTTTTATATATAAACCTTGGGCAAATGCAGTTCGACGAGCCGCATGCGGCTCTTTGAATAATTATTTGTGGCTCTCGATAAATGTACCGAGTTCCTTTTTTTATTTTTTTTAAGTTCCCTTTTTAAACTATAGTAAAAAGACTATAGTGTAATGCAGATATACCGGGTGTCCCTCAAAAGTGGCTCACTCCCATATTTTTTTTTAATTATTAGTGATATCAGAAAACCATTTGGAATGCATAGTTAGGTCGTTAAAACGGATTATTACGACATGAAATCATTCTTTTTGTACTTCCGGTTACACCGGATGTGAGTACTAATTTCGCTATTTTTTTAAATCTATAATTTTTTTTTCTTCAATTGAGTAGACAGTATAATTTCACATAACTTTTACTTGAAAAAATTTTCATGATCGCTTATAATTTTTGAAAAAAAAAATTATTTTCGTTATTTTTTAACGTTTTAGTACCTTCGGAAAATGTATTACAACTTTTGACGCATAGTAGCTAGGTTAATAGTATAAACTACGTTATGTCCCTCTTGATTTGCTATTTCTCGAGCAGTGATCATTGCTATGCTTTAGTCAATAATAAAGAAAAATATGGGGGTGAGCCACTTTTGAGGGACACCGGTATAAACACGCAAAAAAATTTTTTTAATTTTTAAACAATAAAAAACAATTGTTTTGTAGTGGCAACTCGTCAGAGGAGGTATTTATCATTTTGAAGTACTCTTTCTTAACTTTAATTTAATATACTTTATAGTTATAGTACGTGAAATTTTTTTTTTAATATTTAATTTATCCTCCACTTTAGAAAGCCCCGCGAGCCGCCGCTGATTTAAAAATTAAACATTAAGAAAAACATGTATTTTTCAATTCCGCTTCATAATTATGCCATATTTTGTGCGGACACACACACAGGCACAACCGCTGAGATCCCCCACCCCATGTCAGTTTCATCACCGTGTATAATGCAGGATAACCAAAAGGCGCGAAAAGGGTTCATGTATTTGAGCTTGGGATGTTGCCGATCCAAATCATATTGAGATTGTGGAGGACATGGTTTACCAACCATTGGGATGTGTTGGGAACACATAATCACGACATAAATAGCCTAATTATGTGTATCGAACCATTCACATTTAATTTCCCATTTCCCCACGATCTACAATGCGATTTCTTTGGAAACTTTGAGGACTACAGGTACGAACATTTAAAAATTAATTTTAAATTTATATATATTTCATGAAACTGTACAATTTTTAGATATGATATTGCATATAGTCCATTCAGACGCCAACCGCATTGCATTATAACCCTCTATTATACAACTCCAGAGAGTAATGTCTTTACGAAATGTTGGTTTTAAATTCATACACGATACGCGAGTTCGTAAAATGGATCATGAGGATTTTGAAGTGGCATACTTGCAAAATGTTATTGAAGATGAAAATCGGTGGTGTCAATATTGCGTCCGAAAAACGGTTTTTCGTTTTATTCGAACAGAAAGAAATGTGTGCTAAAAATTAAGCGAAAACAAAAACGATCAGTTTATTTTTTATACTGTGAGTAATTTCTATTGTTTCTCGAATTTTCTTTTTAATAATTTTATTTATTTTTATTTTATCAACAGTTGTTATTGGAAATTTGTTTATCTAGAGAGTTATTGCGTCTAACCACATTTTTTTTGCGGTTTACATTATCTCTAGCGCATGGTGCGAAATTTATTCATTTCGAATTTACACTCCAAACTAATATAATTTATTGTTAATTTGAAATGTAATGATTTTTTTTCATTTTTAATCCTATATCCCCACCACCATTTAATTTTTCGGTCAAGTTACGCTAATTTACAGTTCACTTATCACAAGTTATCACTCACTCTTACTTGCACCACTCAATCTAGGTGGCGCCATATTATTTAAATTTCTCTGTTTATTTTTTTATAAAAAATCCCTAGATCTCTAGTTACTTTTAATACCAACCTAATTTATTTTCCCCCAAACTTCGGTTGGCACCGCTCCGTACACTTAATACATTGAGACGTGCCGTCACCGCAGGGTTGGCAGGATTAACTTCCGGTCTAGAACCAGCATTCTTACACTACTCACATAACCATGGCAACTGTAAACATGTCATGTACAAACGCAGAAGCGTATGATAGAGCGTACGATCATTTATTTTCAATGTTTCGAATATGATGCAACTGTATGGCAAAAATGTGCAATGCAATCGACAAAAAAGACACTTTTCTCTAGAAGAGTTTTTAAGATTGGTTTCGGGATTACGGGAAACTAGCAACGTGTAGCCCATTCAGACATCTCCATGAAATTCGTAAATCACATTGGTGAGCAATGCAATCTCACATAATATGGGCACCCCGAAAACAATTGTCCACAAGATTCCTCAAGAGAATAATATGTATCTTCACCACATTGTTTTCCCTCAGGCCTTAACAGATACCGATTATGATAACAGACTGAACTATTATCATTGACTTTTAAATATAATTCTGGAAAATTCAAACCACAAATGCTATGGATGCATGAAGCATCTTTCAACAAGCGGGTGTAAACTTGCATAATATGCTTCTTGGTTCGAGCAACACCCACATTGCTTTCACCCCTTTATCTATGGAGTGCACTAAACGACCTAACTTTTCAAGAAAAAACAATAACCAGGGAAAATATGACAAAGTACTAAATGCCATTAGAAACGTGTCCAGGGCTGAGACTTAAACAGCTTTTTTTCCGTCGAAACTAGATGCATCGAGGTTTATGGAAGGCATTTCGAACATTTGTGAGTTATTTTTGCCAAAAATTTAAGTAATTCTAAGTGTTTTGGTTTATTTTGTTTTATTATCATTGTTGATGTTTCATTGATCCGTCAGCTCTAGGAGGTTCTAGATAATACCATTTTTGTCCTCTCTTATTTGTTTGCTAAGGTAACTTGATCCGATAAAGATAGACGAATTGATCTATGAAGTAAATAGTACCGTTCCATTTAACTTTTTTTCAAAAATATGTAATCGCTGCAGATAACGCCCTCTAGCTTATTTGTTTTAAATCAAACGGTCTTACTGAAAATATCTTTTAAAAGAGCATGAAATGCTCTTTCAAACAAGACCAAAAATAATCAAACTGGTTGAATGGTCCAGGAGATATTAAAATGTAAACATTTGAAAACGCATTGGCTTCCCCCTCCCTTATTATCCCCTCCCGATGCTGTAATGAGATTTTAGTAACATTTTATGGAACCAGTTCAAGTTGGTGACATTGGTTCATTATGAACATTAATTATGTACATTAATACATTATGTGTTTTGACAGTTTCCAATTGTCAATTCAAATTTCTAGTTTGAAGTGTTACGGTGTTATCAACTGCTACCCTATTTCATATTTTTATACCTATTTCCCTACATTGTCAAAATTTATTTTATTTTTGAGAAAAAAAAGGGTGAAAACGCGAATTACAAAAAATACCATAAAAAACACGTTTCATAAGACTTAAAGAACTCATTCATTAAAAAACTCGTGGATTCGCCACTCGTTTTTCAACTTGAATTCGTGCATTTGAAACGTGTCTTAGGAAACTAGTTTTTTAATATACTATAACGCTTTTCTTATAGTGCGGATATATCAGTTTAACGATGTTACATTTATGTATCATGTTATGAATGTCCTGTAAGTCTTTGATGTTGTATCCATTATTCAAACCGATTTTTACAATTTTATGGAGTTCTGTGAGATAATTGGAATCATTTAACGGTACTTTTTGTAATCTATTGAAAAGAAAACGAAATGATGCCTGTTTATGTTCAGTAGAGTTGAATGAATGTTTGGGAATTATTACGTCTGTGGCTGTGTGTTTGTGAAATATATCAAAGTCAAGATTTCAAAATGGTACAACAGTTGCCATTTTTCTTTTCATAAAAAATATTATTGCTCGGAAAACCCGGAATGGTTTCCTCACCATTCAATACCCGACGAGAGTTTTCAAAAATGTCTTTGCAATTACTTTCGTTTAAGAAGTGGTGTAGCTCTCTCAACCATTTTCGTATCGCTTCCTCTGTAATTGTTGCTCGTGATTTTGACAGAGCTTCGGAAGTCCACAGATTCCTTGCCTCAAAATAGGTCGATTTAAGTTAAGTTATCTATATCCAAAGTTGCTTCATTTCGCCGCTAGAGGACTTCAAAGTTAGCAAAAAAAATTCTTTTATTTTTTATAACTCGAAAACGCGTAAATCAATTGAAACCATTTTTCAGAAGTGAGTTCCTAGGTTCAATTAACGTCTTTTTATGGTTTTTGATACAATTTTAGAAACACAGGAATATTGGAAAAGTCATGTGTTCACCGGATATTACTCCATATTTTTTTTTCTGGCCAGGTGAGAATTACATTATTATAATTTCTGAATAGCCCATTTAGTTCTAAACCGTTTTTCTCTCTTATAAGATTTTGATTATATAAATGGTTAAGCCAGAAAAAAGGTACTTTTAAGTATCTGCAAGCCTTGTTTACGTCATTGCAATTACAAAAGTTACCTCATCGTAGTTGGCAGTGATTTCAACTAATTGCAAGTTATGTTTAACGTAAATACAATATCATTAATTGATCACAAGCGAGGACATTCAATGATCCTCAAAGCATACAGTGTTAGGAAAAAACGTAGTCGTATTTAGTTGATTCAGTACGACAAAGAAAAACTTGTAATCAAGTTTGTAGTCAGTTTGTAGTCAAGCCAAGGAATCTGTGGTCTTGAGAAAGCCTGTGTATTCCCTACCCCTAATTATCATAATTTTAAAAAATTACACGCTATCCGAAAATTGAAAAAAGAATATATTAAGGGAGCCTTAAACAAATATCAATACAGGGTGATTCACATAAGAACCGACACAGAACAGGGACATGTAAAGGACAATAAATTAAGATGATTTAACGTAACTTACCTCTATACTAAGTTGTACACCTGAGGAGTTATAGGCCTTCAAAGTTGGCTCTTAAATTTTTAAAAAGTTCAATATCTTCCTAATACATTAAGCTAGAAAAACCAAATTTGGTATACGTTATGAGTGTACCAAGGGTATTAATTGGTAGCAAATTGAACTCAATTGAAGCATTTCAAAGGGTTGATTAAAAGTGATGGTACCCTAAATTTAGACAGATTTTTTTAATTTTTTGGCGGAGTTAATACATTACTACTTAAACTAAGATTAGGACTAAAACTAGAACTAACACTAGAAACTTTCGGGTTTTGCCGTGCGTCTTTTAATAAAAGGTTTGACGTTTCGGATGCCATGTTGCAACCTTCTTCAGAAACTGGTTCGAAGTGACACTCTGAGTCCTAATCTTAGTTTAATTCACACCGGCCGTGAAAGCCTTCGTACTTATAACATTACCACTTCATTTCATGTGGAATTTAATTCTAAAATTTTTCTTACTCTTATTATTTTTTAAAAAACTTTGTCGTTTTCATAGAAAACTTAAATAACTAAACCCACGTATTTCGCAATGTTGCTTAAAATAAGCGAAAATTCAGTAGTGGGCTATGAAATTGTACGTCAAACTTTACAAATAGGTTATAAAGATATTTGATGACAAGATTTTATAACCTATTTGTCAAGTTTGACGTACAATTTCACAGCCGACTACTGAATTTTCGATGATTTTAAGTAGCATTAACGAAATTCGTGTCTTTAGATATTTGAGTTTTTTATGAAAACGACAATGTTTTTTAAAAAAATAATAAGAGTAGAAAAAGTTTTAGAACTAAATTCCACATGAAATCAGGTAATAATGTGTTAAATCCACCAAAAGGTTAAAAAAATCTGTCAAAATTTAGGGGACCATCACCCGTAATCAACCCTTTCAAATGCCTCAATTGGTCTCAACTTGCTACCAATTAATACCCTCGGTACACTCATAACGTATACCAAATTTGGTTTTTCTAACTTAATGTATTACGAAGATATTCAATGTTTTAAAAATTTAAGACCCAACTTTAAAGGCCTATAACTCCTCAGGAGTACAACTTAGTATAGAGATAAGTTGTGTTAAATCGTCTTAATTTATCGTCCTCTACATGTCCCTGTTCTGTGTCGGTTCTTATGTGAATCACCCTGTATAACGGCGTTTAACTTGACTGTCCTGACTGTTTTTATTACACTGTTTAATTGTACGTAAAAAAATAGGTTGACTTTGATAAAAGTTATTGATACCTAGCGTTTTTCGTTTTCGAGTTATTTTTGTTTCAAGCTTTTCTTGGTAAATTTTGACATGCTCTTTAAAACTTCATATCTCAGCCAACGTTCATTCAAAAAACGTCTACGTTGGCACGATTACTCTTCAGATGTTGTCAAATAGATTGTCATTTGTTGTATCGGAGTATCTTATACAGCCTGGTCAAAAATTGAATTTGCATTACTGTTTCTCCATATTCAATGGCGAGAAAGTCGAAAATTTTAAATGGAACGCCCCATATTTTTTTAGCCTATCAGAAAGAGAATTTAATTCTCTACAAATTATCTATAAACATTATAGAGTTTATAAAGTTAATTTAAAGAATGCAATAGTTTATATATTGGGCAAACAGGTCGTAGAGTTGATTTAAGACTACAGGAACATAAAACAAAGGCGAATTCTAACATTTTCAAACACAGTCAATTGACTGGTCATATTATCGACTTCGATAACACGAAGTTGCTACATAAATGCGAGAAAGGGTTTAAACTGGATCTTTTGGAAACATTGGAAATCGATAAACATAAGAAAAATAAAAGAATAAATCTTCTCAACGATCAAGTTGATACTTTTTACACCCCATTATACTCCTTCCTATCAAGAAGCAAGAGAAGAAAAACTATACAAATAAAATAATATTTTTCTGATTTTACCATCTCTTTATTGAAACGATTTTCATATGTAACCGGTTTATTCGGGTGGTGTACTTACTTTCATGTAAAATTTCCATTATTGTGCGTTGTGTTCGTCTTGTACGTTTCATTTTAATTCGTAACAAAATATTTAACTTTAACATTTTACCTTAGTTTATTTATTTAAATTTTAATATTTTAATATTCAATGTGGTATTTTTATAAAATTCAACGTTAGCATTTTCTTCATTTATAACGTAAGTTATATAATTTTTATAACAAAATTATATTTTGATGTGATTTTCTTAATCGTAATGTTTATAGATAAATTGTAGCAGGGCCCGCTCTAGGGGCGGACCATCCGGACATTTGTCCGGGGCGACAGCTCTAAAGGGCGGCATTTTGACTCAGAATGTGATAACATTTTGATAATCGAAATTTTTGCTTGTCGATTTTCTACCAATAGAGAGCATGTTGTAAGAGACTGGCTAGTATACTCTATTTCAAAAAACTATATTTATTGCTTTTGCTGTAAAATTTTCGGCTGTGTGATCAGTTCTCTTTCAAAAGACGGCTTTAAAAGTTGGAAGCATATCGTTGAAACGTTAAAAGAACACGAAGTTTCAGAAAGTCATATTGAAGCTCACAAATCATGGCTGGAACTGAGTCAAAGACTAAAGTGTTGTAAAACTATAGATGCAACTGCTCAAAGAATTATTAATACTGATACAAACCATTGGTATGAAGTGCTTCTAAGAATCGTAGGAATCATTAAAATGCTTGGTAAAAGTTGTCTGGCTTTTCAAGGTACAAGAGATAAACTATTTGAGCATAATAATGGCAACTTCCTAAAAATAGTTGAACAGCAGTTCAAATTTAGACAGTAGTCTGAATTTTGTCCCATTATGGAAGAACACGTGCGAAGGGCGCTGAAAAAAGAGGAGACGAAAGCCTACAATCTCGGTAAAAATATACAAAATGAGATAATAGACTTGTTGCATCAAAATGTGAAGTCTCATATTATTAATGAAATAAAAAAGGCCAAATTCTATTCTATAATTTTAGATTGCACTCCTGACGTAAGTAAGGTGGAGCAAATGACTTATATTCCGATATGTTACAGTCAATAAATCTGATTTCAACGACGCTGAAATAAAAGTTAATGAAAGTTGTTTGGGTTTCCTTCCAATTGAAAGGTCCAAGGGAAAACAAATGACTGAAATCATAATTGAAGAACTTCTAATATGGGTTTAAACTTGCAAGATATTAGAGGACAGGGATATGATAATGGATCTAATATGAAAGGCGATAAAGCTGGAGTGCAATCTAGAATTAAGAATTTAAATTCACGAGCGTTTTACGTTCCGTGTAGCAGTCATTCTCTGAATCTAGTGGTTAATGATATGGCAAAAGCTTCTTCGGTAGAAGCTAATTTCTTCAATATAATCCAGAAATTAAATTTATTTTTTTCATCATCTACGTTTCGGTGGGCAATACTTTTGAAACATATTAAAGGATTAACTTTGAAACCATTGAGTGCCACTAGATGGGAGAGTAGGATAGAGGCCTTAAAGACTTTACGATTTCAAATAGGAGAAAAATACGACGCAACAAAAACTTGGTACAAAATCTTAAACTGCATTAATCCTATAAGCAAACTAATGCAAACAAAAGATTTCGATCTAGCATCTGCAATTGACCTCTTGCAAAATTGCAAAATATTCTTTAAGGATCTTCGATCGGACAAGTCTTTCATTGAAAGTATAATTGGTGCAAAAGAACTGGCTGCCAAAATTGACATTGAAGCTAATTTTGAATCAACAATTCCACGACACCGCATACAAAGAAAAAAAAATATTTTCTCATACGAATCTCGAGATGAACCGATTGAAGATCCCAAAGAAAAATATCAGTACAGTGTCAGCCAAAAAGTTTGTATCAATAAATTAGCTATATATTTTTGATAGCATAGCTTTATATGTTTGATTATTTGATGCAGACTTTTTGGAAGGCATTATATGTTTAAAGGGCGGTAGTTTGTCTTTTTGTCCGGGGTAACGTAAACGCTAGGGAGGGCGCTGATTGTAGAGAATTAAATTCCCTTTCGTGTAGGCTAATAAAATATGGGGCGTTCTGATGGCACCTGAAGAGTAATCGTGCCAATTTAGAGGTTTTTTGAATGAACATTGGCTGGGATATAGGGTTTTAAAGAGAATGGTGAAATTTGCCAAAAAAATCTTAAAATCAAAATAACTCGAAAACGAAAAACGCTAGGTACCAATAACTTTTATGCAAGTCAACATATTTTTTTACGTACAATTAAAAGGTGTAATAAAAACTATAGCATTCCATTTAAAATAACGAAGTTATGGTCTACTTCTGGTAGACCGGAAAATTTCAAAACTGTACGAATACTGGAACCTAAAAAAGTTCTAACGAACCAGTTACGTGAGACACCTGTATAACGTTCGGAATCGGGTATTTTAAAAATCGCGCCGGAATAGTAAGTTCCATTAGAATAATGCTCCAAAATATTGTTCCTCAAATACCGAACCAGCACTACAAATATTATATAATATTAGTAACGTTCTGTAACGGGTATTTTAAAATCGCGTGGAAACGGTACGCTCCTCAAATACCGTCCCATCACTAGTATTTATGCAATTGCTTGTAATTTGGGTTACAGACACTGGCAACTAATTATTGATACAAATTTTAATAGAGGAAATTTTACTACTTTTTGAAATTTATAGTTGCAGATGGTCGACTACTGACACCGGTCGACCTTAGGCGTGTTTACCCTAGTTGCAAATAAATAATTTATTAAAGTAGAATTTATTAAAAGGAATTAAATTAAAAAAAATCTATTAACTATAAATTACTATCATTGAAATTTTATAAACAAACAAAAATAATCTTTTCCAATATAGCAAGTAAATAACTTATTAAAGTAAAATTTATTAAAAAAAAAAAATTAAGTAAAATTTATTAAATTATCTATGTATTTGTATAAGAAATAAATCCAAAAGAACAAATAAAACTCAATACATTTATGTAAAACTCTTTGTATTAAAGAAGTCATATTACTTCAATCTTAGTTTGTTGAAAAAAATAATACACAACTTAATAAACGTTTCAAAATTCTTGATTTCCCCAACGTATCTAAAAAAAAAAAAATTAATAAAGAAAACAAATTAAAACACTAAATCATTAAAATCTTACATCTGTCCTTGCTTTTAATTTTCGATCAATAAGCCCAACCAAGGTTTCTGATCGCACTGACAATGAATCAATCTTTTCGATTAATTGTTGATATGGCGAAAGCGGTTGAGCCCCCATTACGACATGTCCCAATTTAGAATCAATCTTAGCGTCCAATCGAGCGTTACGAATTAAGTTAACAATCCAGCACTCAGCTTCATCAGGATTCATATTTAATTTTTCCGCCAACATTCCAATACTAATACACTGATGTATTCGACAAAACGTTTCAAAAATCATCAAGCGAGCGTTTTCAACAAACTCATCAAGGCAAGATATCAAGAAGAAATCGTTAAACAAAACCGTTTGGCATTCATGCAGTTTTTGACGAGCGCTATCAAAATCGAAATTAACATAAAGATGTTCAACAAACTCTGTTATCGGATCTTTGTATGTATAACTTTCTTGTTGGATGACTTTTACCAGATCTTTAAGAGCCGATCGCCGTGTACGATTAATTATAACCGCTGTTGTTAGATAACGCAAAATATGGGGACACATTGTTTGAATAGCATTCAAGTAATGAGGTCTGTACAAAAATAAATCAATTATCAATTCTCTCCCCATTGCATGATTAAAGAAAACAAATAATGACCAATGAATTAACCATGTTCTTTGTTGTAACAGTTGTAAGCTGTTTCCCCCAAATTGATTTGGACTGGAATCAATGTACTCTCTTAAAACATTTAAACTTTCCAAAGCAGAATCCCAATGCTGTACCAAAATGTGTAAAGCTAAACGCCCCCAAAGAACACTCAAATAATTTTTGTCATTTGGTGGAAGTACCAATGAGCAAAAATATAAGTATGATGAAGCAACAGAGTAAGTTCCACACTCGTAGCGATGTTTAGCTAAACGGTGTAATCCTTCAATCATTTCTATTTCAAATCTGTACTCACGAGAAAGAAAATTAATGAGAGTTTTTGAATCGCGCATGCTTTCCATGTTTTTCATCGTTTCATCATCGGCCATAACGCGAAGAATCGGTTCAACTTCTTCTTGGAGAACTTGAAGTTCCGCTACAACGTGTTGACGACGATCCTTCATCTCTTCGGGAACTTCACGATCTGGATACAGTTGTTTCCATACGTCTATGGAATAATCTACCATGTTCGTTTTACTCAAAATATAAGTTTTAGCTTTTAAGATTTCATGTTCGCTATATATCTATAAAAATTTAAGACAAAATATGGGTTGAAAATGTGTATGGTCGGTGAGACCTAACCTCAATATTTGTACATACCTCTTTAGCGGACAAAAACTCCAATAAAGGAAATATTAAATGCCTATCTAAGTATTGCGCTATGCGCGAAGTTAAATCAAACTCTGCCATTATTTTAAATACTTATTTCAGCGGAAATAACCATAAAACTTTTCACAAAAATGCGTCCGAACTGTCAGTTGCCATCGATGGCTGGGCAGTGCTACCAACATTCTTTTTTACACACTTAACTTATTAAATTATTGCAATATACTTTACATTCCATAAATATATATGTTTATATGTTTTATGATGCATATTTTATAAATGGGCAAATAGCATGTAAAAATAGGGTTGGGTTGTAACAGAAACGAAACGACATCTTAATGGATTTGCTTAATTAAAAAAATAGATATGATCTATACCAAAAATATTTTAATCTAAACTGGTACAAATTTAAAATTGATCCTTTTTTCTCAATTAATTAAGTTTAACTAACTCCATTTAAAACCAACAGATGGCGATAATAATGTACAAAAGTTACAAGAAAAAGCATTAAATATTTTTTTTTATTAATTAAATTAATTCCATATTTATCATTCAATATCACTGATTTTGACCTAAATACTTATCGACGCTTTGGTACTTCCATTCAGTTTCCTTCAAATATTCCAATTCTCTTCTAAGAGACTTCATTCTGGCTTGATGTAATTCTCTTACAGATTCGTTGGTATTTTCGTTAATGACTTCTAGTAACTGTACTTTCTTTTTATTAATACCACCTATTACTTCACTCGACGACGGTACAGATAATAAATTTTTTGATAAATTTGTATTCGACATAACCTCATTTGCTATTTACTTCAATATTTTTAATGGCGGTAAAGTAGAAATCTTCAACAATTACCGGCAACTAACCCACGTGTATAGAAGTCACGTGTTACAAACGCTGATAGGCTGATGACGTGTGATTTGGTTTTATAATAAAATTGTTATGTTTATTTTAATTAATTAATCACATCGATCATATCATAATTGTAACTTTTTTTTTCATTTATTTCAAAACCAGTTCAACATTGTCAAATGATAATGTTTTTCGTGGTTGCGTTGATACAAAAAATGAAAAAATACAAAGATACAAAAAATTGTTGAAAAAAAATGAAATAATTACAGGGTGTCAGATAAAAAACGCCCCAAGCTGTAATTCTGTCATTTACATTCCGATTTTCATGACCGAGGTATCAAATGAAATGGTTTGATGAATACTATAATTCATGCTACAAATAAATTTTTTCCAAGGCCATCTTCAATTTTAAGCGATTATTAGCTTTTGTTTTTCAAATGGCTCTACCGGGTGTCCCTAAGAAGTGGCTCACCCCCATATTTTTTTTTATTATTAGTGATATAAGAAAACCATTTGGAGTGCATAATTAAGCCGTTAAAACGGATTATTACGACATGAAATCATTGTAGCGATCCGCAGATCTGTTAAAATTTTGTTAATTAATTATTGATAAGAGCGTCCAGGGGGTGAAGGTTTAAATATTGAGGAGGAGCGCATTTTGAGAGAGTTTTTCAGTTCGGTTTGGATTTAAATTAATTTCTTCGACGAAACACCCTATTCGGTTTCGGTTAAGAGTCTTAGTAATTCTTTAGTTTGATTTAAGTTGTTTAATTAATAATTATTAATTAACTTTTATTCGATCGGATTAAAATTAAAGTGTTACACTTTATAACGGATTACTCCTCTCAATATGAACACTTTAACCCTTGGTAAGTCGTTAATGTTTTATTTTACATATTAACTTGTAAAGATTGTAACTAATTGCTTTAGCTTTTTCTGATTTGGTATGAACCTACGTAAAATTGGATATTCTTTTTGAATTGTTCTTTTAATTAAATTGATCATTTTGTAATTGTTGAACTTAGATTTTTTTTTTATGTTTTTAATTATAAAGTTTTCGAGTTATTTTTGTAGCTAAACTTTGTTTGTTCATATTTATTTTAACATTAATTCTGTTTATTAATTTTAGATTGTATTTTTTTTTGCTATTTTTTTTTGTTTGATTTTAATTCATTAAATTTGTTATTTAAATTTAACTTGATTTCTTTTATTTTTTCTTAATTTCATTTAACTTTGCTCCCTAAATCCAAGCCGGCGTGACAAGGTTCTGCTTGTCGCATACGCCTTTAGCACGCCCTCACAACAAAGTAAGAGCCGCTCCTTACATCATTCTCTTTGTACTTCCGGTTATACCGGAAGTGAGTAGTAATGCCGCTATTTTTTGTAAATCTATAATTTTTTTTTCTTAACTGTTGTGGATACCATAATTTCACATAACTTTTACTTGAAAAAATGTTCACGATCGCGTATAATTTTTGAAAAAAAAATTATTTTCGTTATTTTTTAACGTTTTAGTAGCTTCGGAAAATGTATTACAACTTTTGACGCATTGTTGCTAGGTTAATAGTATAAACTATGCTTTGTTCCTCTTGATCTGCTATTTCTCGAGCAGTGATCACTGCTATGCTTTAGTCAGTGGTTCTTTTTTAACGAACAATTAAGTTTAATTCAATTATTTTTGATCTTTTATTGTCTTTATTTTTTGTTCTTTTACACTAAATATTCTGCAGCTGATAGTAGCTTACAATGTACAGGGTGGGCAAATTTGGGTGTTATTATAGGCTATCTCAGAAACTATAAGAGATACGAAAAAAGTAGGTGCCATGTCACGGTCTCTTTTTTCGAGACTAACCCAATTCCGCAAACACCAAACCTCTATCTTCTTTTGTTTTTAAGTTATAGCCAAAAAGTCAAATTTTCGTGATTTCAAAAAATGCTCATATTTCGTTTATTTTTCAAATTAGAGGAATGGGGTTGATACGTTCTTAAGGCACTTTTTTAAGTAGAATATACTGCCGTTGAAAAATTTTAAAAATATTTAATGATTTTTGAGATACAACACAAAGTTGTATTTTTTTAAATACAAACTATACTTGATTATGATGTTAATGAAAAGACCATATTTTTAACTTTCCAATGATGTATCACATGTATGGTGTATTTGTGGAAAATAAGCGTTAATTTTCAATTCCAAACAAATGTGCAGTATTCGACGCTTTTCATCCGCATAATTTCGTCAAATTTGCTTTTTATCTTTCTTTAATTACCTTTAATTGGAATTTGGAGTTCTGTTTGAGTTCGTATTATTGTTTTTTTTTTTAAGAATTGTTTTTAGTTTCCATATGTGGTAAAATTGTTTTTTGTTCCATATCTTTTTTTCTTAACGATTATTATGTCGACTTTTAAAAGATCTTTAGATAAATGGGTACTAGAATTTGGGGAAAATTATTCTGTCGGGGATACTTGTAAAGTATGTTGCAATGTTTGTGAAAAAACGTTCCGGTGCTTTCGAAAGTATCACATTTCACGCCATGAAAATTCGAGAAGGCATAAAAATAATACCGACCCCTGCAAAAAGAATTTTAACGAAGAGTTATGCGAAGTATTTACAGCTGCTGATATTCCTTTACACAAACTAAAAAATCCAGTTTTAAAAAAGTTTTTGGAAAAATACACTCAACAAAAAATTGTTAACGAATCTACTTTGCGTAAAGTATATTTACCAAAAATTTATAAAAAGGTGATGTGTCCTATAAAAATGCATCTTATGAATAACTATTTTTATGTCAGTGCTGATGAAACTAAGGACATTGTAGGTCGATGCGTTGTAAATGTTGTTGCTGGAATACTGCATCCCTCTGATGTTGCTACATCGTACTTAATGGCAACTAAGTTCATCGATAATGTAAATGGTGAAGTAATTGCGAAAATAATTATTGATGTTTTAGCCAATGTATTCCAAGATACATCCTACAGCTACTACAATAAGTTTGTATTATTTGTTAGCGATTCTGCTGCTTACATGTTAAAAGCTGGACAAATATTAAAAGTTACATATTCTAATTTATTGCATGTAACATGCGTTGCACATGGCCTTCATCGATTTTGTGAATTCATTAGGGAAACATTTCCAGATGTAGATAAATTAATTAGCTCTTGCAAAAATTTTTTTAAAAGCTCCTCACAGAATTTCCTTGTATAGAGAAATGTGTCCAGATCTACCGTTACCTCCATCACCCGTAGTTACACGATGGGGTACTTGGCTAGAGGCTTGTTTATTTTATGCTCAACATTTCGTTGACATAAAAATTGTGTAGTAATGCTGAAAAATGACGCTGTAAGTATAACGGAGTGTAAAAATATTTTACAAATGCCGAATTTGCCTGACGATTTAAATTATATACGTGACAATTTTTCTGGTTTAGTGAATAATATAAAATGTTTTGAACAACAGGGTTTAAAATCATTTGATTCAACAAAAAAATTATCAACGATTATTCAAAATTTTAAAAATATTACCGGTGTAAATTCTTCGTCGTTTAATAAAAAAATTACAGCAATTTTCGATCGGAACCCGGATTTGAAAATTGTTCAACAAATTGCCGAAAACAATATACCTTTAATTCTTAAGCAAAAATATGGTTCAATAGCTCAGTATTTTATTTATGCTCCACTTACAAGTTGTGATGTTGAAAGATCATTTTCTAGGTACAAACACATTTTAACGTCAACTAGAACGTCATTTACAGATGAAAATTTAGGGATGGTTGTTTCAATATACGTTAACAGCAATATTTTTATATCCGTATCCGATTTGTGATTGATATTACAAATCGGATCCTGTTTGTTTGAATTAAAGTTATAAAATATATATTTTTTTAATATTTTCAAATCGTACTGACAGTTGACACTGACGTGTAATAAACCGATTGTCGGTCGTCAACAACAACCGATGAGGTGAGTTGACTTGGCGCCACCGACTTATTTTCTAGGAGAACAAGTGGAGGGGGTAAATCGTATCATTTCGTTACAAAAGTTCCGTGCCCTAATTAT